ATGGGTGCATGTACAGCAATGCAATACTTGAGGCTTCCGATGTCTATAACTTACCAGGTTGACTAGCAGAATCCACCAGTGGATCAAACTTCACATAAAGAGATTGTCGACCAAGAGCGATATCAGCCTGCATTCCCAAACACAACACGAGTAACACAAAATCTCAACTGTATTATCGTAAGGAATGCAATATATTCCTTTTCTTCACGAATGATATAACTGGAATGCTATTTTTTAATGCAATCAATCCTAATCAGCCCATACCAGTAAAACACAAGAAATATAGCTGCAATGGCGCATGCAAGCACACCCGCAGGCACACTCTCATTCTCTCTCTCTCTCTCTCACACACACACACACGCACGCACGCACGCACGCACACACACACACATATACACACCAGGATTCCACTGGGTTCAGTCAAAAATGTCAGAAGTAGAATGTTAAAATTACTGGTGTATAAACCGAACTTACAGCACTTCCACCCTGAGCTTCCAGCTTGTCCAGGTAATCCAACTCATTGCTTCCAAACACTAGAAAAGAAATAAGAACCCAAAGACCAAAAACCAAGTCCATTGCTGAGTATTTCTGTTAAATTTCTAATCAATAATGAAAATGTGTTTAGATGACATGCCATAACATTGTGGACTGACAATCAACTGTATTATTTGAAAGAAAGAAAAAACATGGACTAGAGTCACAGTGGAGTGCTATTCCTTTGATCTAACTGGTGCAGGTAAACCCCCTGATGATGACGGAGCAGCGCTCTGAAAACGAATCCCGTAGATACCATCTTCAATCGGCCTACACAATCCTGATACAACGAGAGAGCTTGGAAGCTCAGGGCCCTACGCTATACTTTTTTTGCCTTGATGACCTAGACAAAAAAAAGCATAGGGATGTTATAAAATTTTTTTTTTAGACATAACCTGGGATTCGAACCCGCACTATCGCGCCCTGCATGCATCCCCCGATACACTTCGCATACATACTAATTCTTCCAAGTTGCTTCACATTATGATCTTGCATTTGAAAGCCCTATTTGAATATGCATTGTGGCCAGCCGTCTTTGATGGTACGGTACGGTAGGGATAGGTACGGGACAGGTACGATCGAGGGTAATACGACACCGTCTCCCGTACCGTACCATCAAACACAGCTGGCCACATACAGCTGCCCGCAATATTCAAATAGGGCTTTCAAACGCAAGATCATAACGTGAAGCAACTTGGAAGAATGGGTATGAATGCGAAGTGTATGGGGGAATGCATGTAGGGCGATAGTGCGGGTTCGAATCCCAGGATATGCCTGAAAAAATAGGAGAATTGAAAAATTTATAACATCCCTATGATTTTTGCCGTCAGATACGGGACAGCGCCAGGCGTGACACAAACACACAAACAAACAAATACCAAATTAAAGCTGTGTGGACACTGGCTAGCGCCAGACGTTACTGAAGTAACGTCTTCTGCATAGCTACGGGAATAAAGGTACTTGTTTAGACCCAGTGAAACCCCACGGCGCTTGCAGACACCGGCAAGAGCAACAGCATACCATATCAGCAAATTCCTCCTGACAAGGCTTGTCCCGCTCCAGAATATTATGAGAATTCGTTAAATTGAAATGAATACTGCTATATTATGCATGAAGTGCTAGTGCAAAATGTGTACACTGTACATGCAAGGTGGATGTGCTGGTTTCATTCGTATACTAGCAGTTCGTATCTAACCTTCGGATGCAGGTCTAAACTCCTCCTGATCATCAGCTGGATCACGGCCATACTGCACCCCCTTGACTGGTACGTCGTCCATTATAGATCAGTTGTGCCTTTGTAAAACCAAAAGAACAAGTTAGCAGTCTTAGTACACAACACTGACAAATAAATATCGACACAGCACGAACAAGGTTGAAGGAGCATTTCGACTACTAGTACTACAGTACCGGTATAATGACAACAGTCCAAGGAGGTATTGAACTGGGACCGGCCAGCTAGAGTAACTAGCATGAATACTAGTAATCGATTGGGAGATGGACATTCACTACACAGGGTAACGCAGCTGCTAGTTCCATCATCACAATAACATCAGTCATTGTCCAGAAGCTTTCAGCCCACTCTTATCAGTACTTCGAAGTACATACATGACAAAGGAAACTGAGAAAGACCGAACAAGTCCACTATACACACTGCATAGACAGGCGTGCGCTAACACATTACACGACCAGTAAACTATCACTTGACCCTATCTATACAGGTTAAAGCGAGAGAGAAATGGTACCAGTTTCATGACGACAGACACAGCTCTTAGTTACTTCAGAAGTATATTACTTGTCATGTGAGGTAAATAGGTTTAGCGCATTGATGTGCTGCTTTCGTGCACATAACACTGGTTATTGACTGTGAATGTATTGTATTGTAATAATTATTGGTTTTTATTGCAATTATGCAATTGTTACACATGCACGAAGCTACCGATAATTCTGATAAGGTTTTTCATATTTTTACTTCTCAAACCAGTAGTAATACTGTAATGTGATCTAGTACAACAAAGTCAATTCGTACAGCTTTGATGAAAATGAAGTAGTGATGAAACGCACGCAGGGAAAAGACGGTGCAAGTTGCGCCAAGCACCAGAGTACTACAGCTATTACAAGGAGGTGGGGAATCAAAATAGCACTAGCTGCCTCACAAACTTCTCTTGCCTACTTTTGTGTGTATCAAACGCACTGGGCAGGACTGACGAGCATGTCATTTCCAGAAATGATGGCACAGGCAGTGATAGGCGAGGCAGTAGTAGCAGCTGCAGTGATGATGATGGCAAAACCAGCACCTGCAGTGACAGCGATAACTGTGGCAGTGGCCGGGATGGCAAGGCTTTCGACGTGACAACAGTGTGTATGAGCTGCATCACAAAGTGTTTTCACATCTTCACTGCACTATATTTCAGTATGCTGACCTGTTCTCCAAGTACTGTTACCAAAGTAAACTAATTTACTTCTCAGTGCTCAAACTTTCCTCATACATGTACATGTACATTTTAAGCACACCTAGCTAGGGCCTGTGTCACCAGCTTTGATGTGCACCAAGTACCAGTATGCAGCCCCCTCAAATATCTGCGTACCTCAACTGTTGCTGCCTCCTCCAACCTAAGGGTTTCAGAATATGTACTCATAGGATACTAGCACTGAGTCGAATGACGTAGGTCCAAGAGATACATTGTTCCCAATTGAAAGGGCTCTGAATATTTGCCATTGGCACTCAAAACGCATGAATGACATGCCATATTGATGTCAACACCTGAATGCAGCACACCGAGCATATGAATTCGATTGGGAGCATCCGGCAAAAGATGCGTCACAGCCTCCTTGGATCAAGACCATCAACTCAGTGCTCTTACTCCATGAACCCCAAAGTTTTCATTTTCGAGGTGACCGTTATCTCCATATCTATTATACATGTACAGGTGGTTATTTCAATTGCTTTTTTTTTAGCCCTAGCCAATACTGGCAATAGGACTTGAGATTATAGTGTTCATACATCAGCTTTGCAAATCACAAGGCAATGCCGATTATATCTGGCGGTGTTAGTGTTTTTAGACACGTGTATACTCTACTCTACTCACAATGTCGATTGCATGGAAGCGAATAGCAGCTCGCTGCGTTGCTGACTCAGCAGAACAGAGTGTCCCGAAGAAATTTTAGAATCCTTTGAAAAATCTGACACAGGGATGAAGCTTGTGGTACAGATCCAACTGGTTTGCTTGGCTCTTAGGCTGCTCCGTGATGCTTCGACAAACTAGTTCAAGGTTGTTGACTGCAACTGTTGCAATGGAATAGACAGATTCTCAAATCTCACTGCTGGTTCTAGCGTTCCAGCTGTGCAACGATACCACCACGCAAAACTTCAGAAGTAGAGCTAGCTGCCTGCTCATGCGATGTACGTGCTGAGCGCTGCGCTGGTCTTTCGAAAAAAAATCACGAAGCTAAAATGTTTCAAAAATCACAATTTCAAATAGCGCCATTTTCACTATGACAACTAATATTACTTGGAATAATGAAGTTACGTCATGATAACTACGCATTATCCCCCCGGGCCGCGGCCCCATGCCCCATGATCATGTGATGTATGCATATATGTGCTCGTTCAAAAAATTAAAATTATTATTTTGAAGACTTCAAATACCCGGTATAAATTCAAAATGATCTGTCACGGTAGAAATGGTATGTCAGGAATTGATTGTTCAGAGATTGAGTACTACAATCGTTGTATATACTATTGTTGACTGTTCCGTGCATCCACTCACTATTTGAGCTACACGTACGAGTCTGTACTTCTTCTCTGAGTGGTTTGCCTTTGATGGAGTTCAAATTTTAGAAGCAAAACAGTTGGGTGATTGAATCTTGCCGATCAAGATGAAGGTGAAAATGCTGAGCAGAAATCCGCACGATCATATTCGTGAGCGGAAGCAGGACCTCCATCACGTGCCGAGAAACCCTGATCCGGCTCTGCATCCCTTTGAAGAAGCAAGAGAATACACTCGCGCTCTAAATGCTACAAAGCTAGAAAGAGTTTTTGCTAAGCCGTTCGTGGGTGATCTATCCGGTCATACAGATGGTGTTAGTTGCTTTGCGAAACACCCCAAGCGTTTAAGTTGTTTGGTATCAGGTGCGTGTGATGGCGAGATACGTGTGTGGGATCTATCAAGTCGTCAGTGTACATCAGCGTTTGTAGGACATTCTGGCTTTGTGCGAGGGATGTGCGTTGCACCATCAGGCGAAAGTCTCCTCTCTGTTGGCGATGACAAGATTGTGAAGCGCTGGTCACTTACCGCTGCAGTGCAGAGTCATGGGGACAGTACTAGTATGGAGCCAACACATACCATTCTCGGCAAGGCTCCTTTTACATCTATATCACATCACTACAGTGAACCGTTATTCGCCACGTCTGGAAATCAAATTGACATTTGGGATGAAGAGCGCTCTGAGCCAGTCCGATCGTTCTCCTGGGGATGTGACACAGTTGGCAATGTGTGCTTTAATCCAGTCGAAGTTAACATTTGTGGAAGCTGTGGATCAGACCGTAGCATTGTCCTGTATGACGCTCGAGGTTCCACTCCATTGCGTAAGGTTGTTCTTGAAATGAAGAGCAACTGTATCGCTTGGAATCCCCGAGAAGCATTCAACTTCACCGCTGCTAATGAAGATGGAAATTTGTACACATTTGATATGAGAAAGCTGACATTCCCGCTGAATGTTCACACAGATCATGTTTCGGCTGTGATGGACGTGGACTACTCGAGGACAGGTCGAGAGTTTGTTTCAGCCAGTTACGACAAGACTATTCGGATATTTCCAATGCAGGGTGGCCACAGTCGAGAAGTCTATCACACTAAACGAATGCAGCGTGTTTTCACAATTTGTTGGAGCTCGGATGGAAAGTTCATTGCATCAGGCAGCGATGAGATGAATATAAGATTGTGGAAAGCCAAGGCTTGGGAAAAGCTCGGACCTGTGTCAGCTAGAGAGAGGGCGGCACACGTACAGAGTGAGAAGCTCAAGACCAAGTACAGCAGCCATCCGCAGATCAGAAGAATCCAGCGCCATCGCCATATACCACATCTTATCCACTCAGAATCCAAGAAGAAGAAAGACATTCTAAGCAAAATCAAGCGCAAAGAAGAGAATGTCCGCCGGCATACCAAGCCATCAAAGCTCAAACCTCGTCGACCAGAGAGAAAGAAGCACATTGTTGGAACAGTGGAGTAAATTGTGCAGTATGCCAATAAAAATGCTTTCGCATATTTTGGTACCAAATACCAGCAGATACAGCTGAATATCCCGTGTCATTTCTCATGTGTTTGGCCATGTTTGCTGCCGGCTTGGAATGGAACTTGTCTTCAGTGTATCTCTTGCCTATTTACTAGTACTTTATATTTTTACTATTAAACCAGCTTTAATTTCTGTCCAACTAATTACTTACCCGTACCTTGAAAATATTTATTTGAACTATTATTAAACATCACTTTTTTACATCGATCATGCAGCATGCAACGCTGTAGGGTCTTCATGCGAGCATCCGCCATCGTGTGGTTTGGCAACAAGAAATTGCAGTACATGTATTCCAACAAGGAAGATGTATCTCTCACACTTTTAACATGATGTATTGACTGCTGTGTGTGGAATACCGTACACATCTGAGAGGAACCCGGGGAGTCGCGGGTACTCTCGGATCAAAAACAACGGTGCCCTGCCTTGAGACCGGCCTTGTGCTGGTGTGGAGTGTACGCATGACATCAGAAGATCCGATTACGCTCGACCAAGACCCTATGCAGAGCTGGATCAGGCGTTGCACACTCTGGGGGGGGGGGGGGGGGGGGGGGTATGTACTCTTGGCTGCATGCTGAGTGCAGATACTGCCAATAGTATGACTGTATGCATAGTTCACTAATCAAAACTTATCGACTAATCAAACTGTTTGCTTAGAATGATCACTGCTTCGAGTATTTGCTGTAATCGTTTCCCCCTTAACTCAAAATGCTGCGTCAACAGGAAAAATTCATAGTCTAGATAATTTAGTTGTGAAGTCTAGAACACCCTTGACAAATGGTCCGGACTGTATTGGCATCGACCACCGTGACAGTAAATACAGCGTGGACGGATAGAGTGTGTGAAATAAGTCAAATACTATAAAAGATACAGCAATGTTCTATGAGATCAACTCTAAAGATCGTTGATTGACATATAATTCATATGGACATAAAATCCTAATTTCAAGTAAAAATTGAACAACCATGGCACAATAGCACCCACAGTGCAGCTGCATGCAAGATGCAGTAGCTCGGGACAACACCGCTGAAAATAACCTACAGTTTTATCAGTATGAAAGATAGCAAGTGAAAGCTAAGGATCTATGAACGAATGAAATGTCTCTATCCTACTGATCGGATATCACACGTTAAAGAAAGCTACCTCAGATATCAACCCCCTTTCTCCAAAACAATCGTAAGTGATGGGATAGTAGATGCTTGAAGTCGGCTGTCCACAGACAGTGGATTGTTTGAAATGCTGACCTGTTTTAGTGTTGGTATCCTGGCCCGCAAGTCTTGCCAATCAACAGAGGTAATTTCATTGTCATCCAGGCACAGAGATTCGAGTTTCTGCAGTACGACTATGCCATCTGGTATGTTGCTCAGTTTATTTTTGGACAAATCCAACGTCAATAGCTCCTGCAGCTCAGCAAATTCCATGGGTAATGTTGTAATTCGATTTCCACTGAAGTTCAGGTGGCTAACACCGCCAAACGCACTGCACAGACGTCCAGGAACGGACTTCAGCTTATTATTTGAGAAGGTAGCACTCTGGACAGTAGTCTCACGCAGAATATGGTAGACAGCATGTGGAACGGAAGTAAGATCACAATCAGTCAGATCCAATTCTTTTGTTTCTGTGGCCTCCTCGCACTGGCGAGCAACTTTGGCTACATACGAAGCCATTAGTGCTAGCAGTACACGTCTAGCCTTTCGATAAAGGGATGATCTACAGTACTCTCACCAAAAATTCGAGAATAATCTTGTTGATAACAAAAGACGAGATAGTTTGAACCAAGCAGTCGAGTATTGAAAAAGACCACGATGGTTTGGATGGGTTTCCAGAGACAACGTCTCACTGACACTGGGGAACATCCGATATCCACGATCAATCCAGTTAGGCAACTAACTACTAGTAACTGCTACTTGCCAAGGGAGTTTGTTGTCGAGTTATCGATGACGACGGTCGACGTTGTAGTGACTCTTTTTGTAAAAACTAAAAATCAAAAATCCAAGCAGAGCCCGCTCGTGGCAAGCGCCCCCGGCGACATGATTGAACAATGCATCATCGATGCGTCATCATAAAAATTAATTATGTATTTGTCCGATACATATCAGTACGAGCTACAAGTACCAATTATTTCACAACTCATTCATCCTGACCTTGGTATATGTATGGCTTTTGCCTCCTGCTGGCCTGGTTGCAGTTTTGCGCGATCCACACTGACCAGAAGTTGCGGGACAAGGGCACCACCGATCTGCGTTTAGGACCCTGCTCTTAGTCCATTTGAGGGATTCAGTATGTGATTGAACCGTTCTGTCCTAACAGAAGCATTCCTAATTGCCAAGATGAAGAATTTCTAAATAGAGAATTTCCGTCAAGAATGTTTCTTGTGCTTTTGACCGTAGCCACAGTGATCTCCACAGTGGAGTCATTTTATTTACCTGACCAATCTCCAGTTCATTACTGTCCGCCGGAAAATGCTAAGAAGGGCGCTTGTCAGGTTCGATTCATTCTATTTTTCTTAATTCAGAACTCTCAAGTCATGTAAATTTATGTTGTGCAACTAGCTCACAAAATCGACAAGTCTGTGTAACTTGGTACAGTGTTACTGTTGCACTGGTTTGCAACTCCGTTCTCTGCAGTGACAACAGTCTGAATATACACTGTAGTACATGTAGCCTTGTTGCATAGTGATAGCAAACGAAATACTACAGGTCTACTCTCCATATAACGTAATCTCTGGGACCACGCAAACATTATGTTATATCGAGAGATATGTTATGTAGAAAACCGTGTGTAAAATACAAGATGCACCTCAAAATGAAGGTTATTACAAGGCGGGTTCAACCATGCAAACGTATACACACTGTACCATCAGATACCATCAATGCTGCAGAATATATGCACATAGGACTAAACTGGCTAGCTACGGCTACAGCTTGATTGTACCGTGCACGTGAATCTACGTTGTATCGAGAGTGTACACGTCGGGGACTGCGCCGTAGGGTACGTTATGCCGAAGTTTACGTAATGTAGGACTAAACTGGCCTTAACTGCCTACAAAGTATGGTAGCTACAGCTACCGCTTGATCATACCATGCACGTGAATTTATGTTGTATCGAGAGTGCGCACGTCGGGGACCGCCGTAGCGTGTGTTATGTCGAGGTTTATGTTATGTAGGATTATGTTGTGTAGAACAAATTTTGTATGGGAGTGATGCTGTTTCGGCGCGGGATTTGATTTTTTATGTACTAACGAGGTTTATGTACAAGTGAGAGTTGTTATATCGAGAGCAGACCTGTAATACATGTACAGGGCGTCACTGCAATGCAAGTGTACCGTTGGTGTGTGTACTGATACTGATAGTCTGATACATGCACTTACAGAGGTGGCGATTATGGTAGTGACTGTGTTTGGCTTTATAGTTTTAAAAATATGGAAAAAAGCTTGGTACATGTACACCATCGCGCCGACTGCCGCGAAATGTGACCCGCTGTCCGCTGCGCACCATGGCTTGGTATGTACGGCAAAGGACATTGTCCACCAGTGGCTTGTGAACTGAGTCGTAGTTGAGCATGCCGCAAGCAAAACTCATCAAACGGTAGACAGTAGGTTTGAGGAGATATGCCACTTGAGCCAAATTTGGCAGGAAGCGATTTGCAAAGGGACGTGACAACAGTACTTTAGTGTACTGCCAACCTGTCCAATCAGGAGGAATAGCATAAGCCCATGCAAATCCTGACAATCCTCAGTTCTGTTAATTTTTCATGGTTTAGCCAGCTCCATGCATTCATCCTAGATGCAGTTGCGGTTCTGCCGCAACATGTATGCTAACTACATGTGAATAGCACCTAATTGAAATTGTATATGGGTATTGATATAATAGTAGCAACTATTAAAGCATGTAAAATACTTAACTGCTCGACTCAGGTTTGTGTCTTTTCCTGCAACATATTGTGCTTCACAGAGCAATATTGATATATTTGTCAACCGCTTGAGCTCTATCAATTCCCTTCTGACGTATGACTATGGCAAGTACGTACTCTTGTTGAGAATCACTTTATGCCAGTCCTTCTGTTTGCATGCACCCCTCACAGTAGGTTTGTTGTGCACGTCTCGTTTGCATTCACTTGTGTTTATGATGCTGGCCGTCAAAGCTTCAAAGAGACATCCATGAACAGTTTACCTGTCTGTCCATGTCCTCCCCATGGGTGTACAGTGGTGACTACAGAGTGCAGGTGTATGTAGTGCAATCCATTGGTCCGCTTTGGGATTGAACATGCCAACTGGAGGTGAATTTGAAAATGAAGTGTATGTGCTTGCACTTGCTTGCTATATAAACAGGTTTTCATCCCGGGGTGAACATTTAACATGTTCCCATGCAGATTTTCGTACGAGGATGAGTTGCTTGTCTGCTGAATCTGCCTAATAGTTTGTGTGTGGGTAACTTACATGTACTTCTGTGCTTGAATGGTCAAGTGTGGACCATTGTTCACATTCACTGGCTGGAATGAGTTTTGACTCGGCCTCGCAGCCGAGTTAAAGGGGAAGTTAAGGCAAAAATCAAAATTTCACCAGTTGTAGTCTTTGGGGTGCTGAGTCGAATGGTCTTGGTCCGAGAAAGCTGAGACGCTCCCTTCCTACTTGAATCCCAATCGAACTCGCGCACTTCCACCGAAACTGGGTGACTGCGCCCTACTAGATGGGGATTTGTATGCAAAATGTCACTAAAAGCGCCATTTCGTTCTTATAAAAGCACGGATGACCGCCATTGGCCCATATGTTGTAGTATTTTGGACGCTGAGTCGACTGGTTTTGGTCCGAAAAGGCTGCGATGCAGCGTTCCTCCTTTATTCCCAATCGAACATGGTTGAACAAGTGGTCACGTGCTCCTGGGTGCCCAAATCACCTGGTCACCACGCCAGCAGGCGACAACTTTCACACCAAGGTTCAAATCGAGTGACAGGACTGCACCCAAAAAAGGTCAAACAGGCTAGTAAGTTGTACCCTGCAGGCACGGTGACCAGGTGACTGGCGTACGCAGCAGCACGTGACCGCTTGTTCAACCATGTTCGATTGGGAATAAAGGAGGAACGCTGCATCGCAGCCTTTTCGGACCAAAACCAGTCGACTCAGCGTCCAAAAGACTACAACATATGGGCCAATGGCGGTCATCCGTGCTCTTATAAGAACGAAATGGCGCTTTTAGTGACATTTTGCATACAAATCCCCATCTAGTAGGGCGCAGTCACCCAGTTTCGGTGGAAGTGCGCGAGTTCGATTGGGATTCAAGTAGGAAGGGAGCGTCTCAGCTTTCTCGGACCAAGACCATTCGACTCAGCACCCCGAAGACTACAACTGGTGAAATTTTAATTTTTGCCTTAACTTCCCCTTTAACACTTGTGTGCGTTTGTGTACACACCGAGTCAAACTCAACCCAAACTGATACACATCCCTGGTGTACACTGCATGTACATGTTAACATCCCGCTAGTCACTGGTTGTGGTTGTGTACCGGGCCATGCAGGGAGTACGGCTATGCTCAATCCATGTAGAGTAGTATTACAACATACTGTACTTAGAGTAGTTAGTATTGATATTACACGTGTGTGTGTGGATGTATGTGTGTGCGTGTGTGCACGCGCACGCGCGCATGCACCTGTACATGTGTGATAACGTCCATGTACTCGTTACCTGCAGGTTTGATCTGTGCATGCCAGCACGCGTTCAACATCCCCGGGAAAATCTTGGCCAGGTATGTATTGCTGTTCATGTGTTCTACGATTTTGTAAGCTGTTCATCAACAAGTTTTGGATGTGGCACGTGTCTCTCGTTGCTAAGGGTGTGCTGCTTGCTTTTGTGATAGCAGTTCTGCTTCTTTATTCGGTGGCGAATAATTTTCGGTGCCTACCGGTATAGCGCAATCGGGGTGGAGTTACATTTTCGATGGTAGGGCATAGCACCGAGAATATCAAAATTGAAAGCGCCCAAAATAAGTGTGACTACAGTATTTGCTCCTCTTGTATGCGCATCTCGGATTCGAGAAAGATCATTTGAAATGACTGCATGATAGAGTTGCATGCATTTCGTGCAGATCAGCTAGGGTAAACATGTTCAAGGCTGCTTTGTGCAGGCATCGGTACCGCTCAAAACACGTGAGTGGATTTCCTTGACCAATACCTGTACAGTAAACACATGTCAAGGCGACCAATCTGGTAATCTGGTAATCTGGTAGGGCGATTATCTGTCCTATCGAAGACCACTGCAACTTAGACCAGTGGATGTTATTTCCAGTCGAATAACCCTGGATAAGAAGACCACCTGTACACGGGGTCGCATTTGTAAGGCCCCTTGTGCGGTCGTATTTGTAAGGCCCCTTGTGCGGTCGTATTTGTAAGGCCCCTTGTGCGGTCGCATTTGTAAGGCCCCTTGTGCGGTCGCATTTGTAAGGCCCCTTGTGCGGTCGCTTTAGACAGGTTTTACTATAGTCGAATGCCACTTGTCCAGTCGCCAGTTATCACGTAATCCGAGCACTTCTGATGTCGGACAAGCTGGGAAATGCTAGATTTACGACTCCCTGTTACAATATTCTTCGAAAGAATTCTCAGAGACAAATATTCTATCACACTGAGCAAGAGAACAAACGTCAGGCTCTTCACAAGCAACTTGTTCGAAAGTGTCTACACATGATCATTTCCTTCTCATCAGGTGGAACACTGGTGAGAAACCGAGGAACGAAAACCATGAATTGAGTACATGTACAGCAGAGAGGTGATAGAACAGTGCAAAAAGTAGCAAAAAAAACAACGGTAAAATGCGTGACTCCTTGCATATATAACTTTTTGTAGAAGGAATGATGAAATGGTGCAATGGTGATGAAACCTAACAAGCTTTCGAGAACAATTGACAAACACTGAAAAATCATTGAGTTGTTGATGCTGTACCTAACGGCCTATGTGTTGCTGCGCCCTTTTCCAGGTGATGTTTGGTGACAGGATTTCTAACTCTCCCTACTCAGTAAGCTTTGTGTGTGTGGGAGGCTTTCAACTAGAGCACCGTGACAGGCAGGGTGGAGACTTCTTCACTCTGCCTTGATCTGCTACCTTGAGGACTACTTATAAATCCACTCATTTTCCGTAGCATTACTCGAGTGTTATTTTTCTTGCTGCATGTATCCTATGCATGTAAGTGTGATACCTTTGCCCTGAAATAACCACTTTGCGATACGATCTGAGTTTAAGACTGTCCTTTTACTGATGTGCTCTCCTAAATGTGCCACCTGTTGTTGTAGACTCACATCCTCTCTTTCTACAATGGATATACATGTACTTCGTTTGTTTTTGATAATCTTTTCTGGTGACCATTATTCCACTCATGAGTGCCACGTGGAACGATCATTCGGGAATATAGCTCTAAGCTTGGATCTTTTGTGATGGCTATCTGTATAGTCTAGAGTGTTGGTGAGTTGAAATTAGTGATTGCTGCATCACTCACTCGCTGTGCTTTTCCCGTGTCGCTTGCTCTTGTATTCTGCAGGTAGTGTTTGGTCAGAAGAAGAAATGTGCATTTGTCTGCAAGAGGGAATATCAGCCAAGTGACAACCAGGCACTTGACCGACTAGACTTTCTTGTTAATGGCATCAAGACGAACTACATGCACTACTGGTAATTACAAACGTTAATGTACGCACTGCACAGTATTATTCAATATTGTTATTATTGACAAGGTTGTGACTGACAGTGGTAATGCAGCGTGCCTGAACAAGTATTGCTCTAGTGTGCCACAGCTGCACCTTGCTTTCTCTTGGATGGTCATCAGCTATGTTGCCCTCGCATCTGCACATCAAAGATGCACCTACCATATTTGTCAGGGTATAGTGGACATAATATGGTGCATTCACATATGCTGTCCAGGCCACGTCCCAGCTGCCGATTTCCGCCCCAATGGTGCCTAGGCAACATACATGTATGTTAGTTGCTGTATGAACCAGAGCCGGCTGACACTACTCAATCTTGCAGTGAGATTTGGCGACTGTGGCCTTTTCTGACATGTTAGAATGTTGCCAATTAGAATGAGTTCCAGCCAGTCACTTTCGCAGCGAGTGGGTATAGTGGACTTGACATAACATTGTGACTAATCCGTACGACAAAGATACAACTGTTGCACCCCACATGTGAATCTGCACGTGACAGTGCACATAATCATGGTAACATGTGCATGGTATACCGAGAATGTGGACCCTGCCGACCATGACCCTATGGAAGTCTTCGAAATCAGTACAGGTTTTGTCAATGTAACTATCTCAATGCAATCCATCCTCACCAGCTGGCAGCTAGTTGTGGCCAGGACGGCATATGTGTACCCAGAGGTTGTGGCCAGGACGGCATATGTGTACCCAGAGGTTGTGGCCAGGGCGGCATATGTGTACGCAGAGAATGTGGCCAGGGCGGCATATGTGTACCCAGAGTCAAAGACTGTGATGTTCCTTGCGTCAATGTCTTTCCGAAAAGCACGAGCAAGACTTTTTATGACATGCACATGTATGAGGGGAATTAGGTGAAGAATTGTATGCAATGATTGAAACTGTGCATTGTCACTGCCATTGTATGTAGTCTGATATATTGGTTCTGCGTTGTCACTGCCATCGTGTTAGCAGTGAACTAGGAGTTGATGCACCATCAGACTGGCTGGGTGTTGATGCCTCCATTGTAATGTCTGTGTAGTACTTAATGGCATAGCATTCTTGTTAGGGGTGAAACGGTTCCATGTTTTTCATGTTCGGGTACCCGAACGCCAGCATAGCTTTCCACGGTTCGGGTATCGGTTCCATGCACTCTTTTCCCCAGACCGACAAAATGCGTTCGTGACAATTATTTTTTAGAAAAAATTTTTTACGAGCCAAGAACGAGACATCGGAGATCGCTCGAGAGTCCATGTACGTGCGAAGAAGATGACCAGGAGGACCCTTTGGAAGAGCGGTGATTGTAAGGTAATAAAAATATAAGACATTTAAACCTTGACAAGGCTCGAGTAGACTTGACGTGTACGTGTATTTGTACGAGAACGAGATTTTTCGAGTTTCGGTTCGAAATTTGACGGAACGGGTACCCGATTATTTTCAGCTGGCGGTTCCAAAACCGGTTCCTTACCCGAACCGTTTCACCCCTAATTCTTGTTCTATATGTTGCTGCTGTCCAGGATTATTGATAACATGCCAGTAACCTGGTGTGTTGATACATCTTCTGCATCCAAGTCACAGTCCTCCTTCGCCACACAATGCTCAACTGGATTTCCATTAGGTTGTCATATAGATGAGGATGGTACAGCCATGGATGCTTGCCGCATTTATGAGTCCTTGAAGAAGCCTGGCTCCGTTTATATCTTCAACCATGTTGATATTGAGTTAACTGTGAATCCTGGTGGTCGTGGCGACAAAGCTGTACTCATCTCTGCCAAAGTTACTCCAAGAACAATAAGACATCCCCTCAAAGGAGATGATGTGGATTGCTGGAATCCAAAGTCTGCAGCCATGGACATAGGCGCTCAGCCCAGAGATGAACCTCTTGTCGTCAAGTACTCTTACTCAATAGAGTTCAAGGTATGTGCCTCACTCACTGAGCCAGAACTGCACCACATAACTTTAGTGCATGCTGTATATGTGAAATAACCTGGTTTGCTCAGCTGCAATGCAGCAAGGGTTTTTCTTGACTCAGTTGCCATTGATCAATGTGTCATATGCCCGTGTTTAAGGTTAGCCTTCTATTTAGGATTCTATTTTGAACCAGACTTTTACACAAGACAGTACGAGTACAGGGCATTGAACTTGCAACTACTGTAGGTGTGTTTGTGTATTCACTTGTGTCTTCATGAATGACATGATTGGTGTTGTTACAGGAACGTCACGACTTGAAGTGGTCATCACGTTGGAACTACATTCTCACTAGTATAAGTGACTCGTCCATACACTGGCTAAGGTAGGATGTGAACACACTGGCTAAGATAGGATGTGAATACACTGGCTAAGGTAGGATGTCCGTGCACTGGTTTTGATAGGATGCTGCACAATCATGCTAGTAGAAATTGGCCCTTGCTTTATATCCTTCTACTGCCTTTTCTTGACAAAGTCTCTCACAATAGATGATATGCCAAATAACGTGCAACTAGACTTATGAGGGCATTGCAGAGTAATTGCATACAATGTTCAAAGTTGTACGGTTACCTGTGACTTGCATTCCTGCAGAGCTCAGGGCCTACCATGTACACATTGTAGTATAATTTGTATGCAACTTGTGTGCGATGCCCTCTCAAGTCTAGTTTGCGCGTTATTTGGCATATCATCTATTAGCAGAGGATGAGAAAAAACTCGGCAATTAGTTTTGATTGTCGAGATTGCTTTAATAGCGAGTGTGCCAGTCTGGAAAGTTACACCTTCAGGACGGGTATGTCTGCATTTTATATTCAGACTTGACAAAATCGTCCAGACTGATTTAATCAACCGACCTGGATGGTCTTGTAAGAGCTAACAGCTTGACGGTCTTATGAGTAACGTCTTGTAAAGACACAGAGATAGATTACCGTAAACCGGGAAACGTTTGCAATCTAGAAGAGTGAGTTGCGATTTTCCTATGGGTGTGAAATCACAAAAAAAAGAAACCGACGCGGAACGTTGACCTGTAGAACAGTAACTAATGAAATTGACTCCAATTGCAAACATTTCCCGGTTCAAAATTGGTCTGTGCTCGCAAATCACAATCTAAAACCGGCGCAGGCAATTCCCGGTTTACAGTGTTGCCCAGAGAAAAAGGGGAAAGAAGTCCCCTCCTTCTGAGGAGATCTTCTCTGCTTAATTCTTATGAAACACAATCTCTTGCACACTATGATGGCAGGGTTGTGTTCTTCTCAGTGTTGCCCGTGGGACAATCAGGTTCGCCTGTGGCTGTTGGTGCTGCGTGGTGGTCGTCACCGCGTTCACAGCAGGGTCTGGGTTGCTGGCGGGAGGCGGCAGGCGGCAATGCGGAATCAGGCAGGGCAAGGAGAAGCTGGACAGTGTTGGTGACGACAGTCACGGCGCGCTGAACTTCCTCCACGGTCAAGGCCTGCAGGTTGGAGGTGTCCGTGCTGTCCGGAGCTCGGCTAGGACTGGTGGCTGCGTGGGCGGCAGTAGCTGTACGAGATCTCTTCGGCATGCCAGTTGAAGCTGCAGCCACCGCAGGAGGCTCGACAGCTGCAACGGGTGCACTGACCCCGCTGCGTTGTTTTCTGCGAGTGTCCATGGCTCTCCGCAAAGAGGAACAAAATGCTGGAACGCGGAAAGGAAATCGGAAATCGTGTGGGAACAGGGAACAAAATGTTCTGCAAGTTGCAAGCTCGAAGTCCGAACAGCAATTTTCTACAGTACGTAGAGCTCTAGATTGTTCAAACCCTTACCTATTGTCAGGTTTGTCTGACAGCTGCTTTGGCTGCTGCTTCATTTCGAAGTAGCCTCGCCAAGCGGTCGCCAGAACTTGCTGGTGCAGAACGACATTTAAAAGTCGGCTATGTCCACAACACATCGCACTCCGTGCTCCCTTGTCCTCTCCAGAGTAATGGCCGCATCCCGGCAGCAGATACAATCAAGCCGTTCTGGCATAGCACATCACTTACTGTACTCATACCACTCGGTGTTACCAAGCCGGCTCATTGGAGGCCACGGGACGTCACCAACTGCAGCCATTTCTGCTTTGTCCTCATTCACATCGGGGAATTAGAAGCCTCCGCTTGCGCTGCCATCTCCTTTTCTGAAACTTTTGGCTCTCTCCCGAAACCAAACATTTCCAGATCAGGCTCTAAACATTGCAGCTCGTCTGATGCCTCGGAGTCGCTCATTCTGCTGGCTTCTTCTTCCCCGAACTACACTTTTGAATACAAATTCAGCTTGTGCTTGTGCAGGTTGGAGGTGTCCGTGCTGCCGGGGGCTCGGCAAGGACTGGTGGCTGCGCGGGCGGCATTAGCTGTGCGAGTTCTCTTCGGCATGCCAGATGGAGGTGCAGCCACCGCAGGAGGCTCGGCAGCTGCAACGGGTGCATTGCCCCCACTGCGTCGTTTTCTGCGAGTGTCCACGGCTCTCCACAAAGAGGAACAAAATGCCGGAACACGGAAAGGAAATCGGAAATTGTGTGGGAACAAAGAACAAATGTTCTGCAAGCTCGAAGTCAAAACAGCAATTTTGCACAGTACGTAGAGCTCTAGATTGTTCAACCACTTACCTATTGTCAGGTTTGTCTGACAGCTTCTTTGGCTGCTGTTTCATCTCGAAGTAACCTCGCCAAACGATCGCCAGAACTTGCTGGTGCAGAACGACAGTTTCAAAGTCTGGTATGTCCACAACATATCGCACTCCGTACTCCCTTGTCCTCTCCAGAGTAATGGCTGCATCCTGGCAGCAGATACAATCGAGCCGTTCTGGCATAGCACATCACTTACTGCACTCACACCACTCGGTGTTACCAAGCCGGCTCATTGGAGGCCATGGGACGTTACCAACTGCAGCCATTTCTGCTTTGTCCTCATTCACATCGGAATTAGAAGCCTCCGCTCTGCCGTTTCCTCTTCTGAAACATCCGGATCTCGCCCGTAACCAAACATTTCCAGATCAGGCTCTAAACATTCCAGGTCATCTGATGCCTCGGAAACACTCATTCTGCTTCTTCTTCCCCGAACTATACTTTCGAACACAAATTCAGTTTGTACTCTGAGCTAACAAATGTTCTGCAAGTTGCAAGCTCGAAGTCCAAACAGAAATTTTACTTACTTACGTGGAGCTCTTGATTGTTCAACCACTTACCTATTGTCAGGTTTGTCTGACAGCTTCTTTGGCTGCTGTTTCATCTCGAAGTAACCTCGCCAAGCGATCGCCAGAACTTGCTGGTGCAGAACGACAGTTTCAAAGTCTGGTATGTCCACAACACATCGCACTCCGTACTCCCTTGTCCTCTCCAGAGTAATGGCTGCATCCTGGCAGCAGATACAATCGAGCCGTTCTGGCATAGCACATCACTTACTGCACTCACACCACTCGGTGTTACCAAGCCGGCTCATTGGAGGCCACGGGACGTCACCAACTGCAGCCATTTCTGCTTTGTCCTCATTCACATCGGAATTAGAAGCCTCCGCTCTGCCGTTTCCTCTTCTGAAACATCCGGATCTCGCCCGAAACCAAACATTTCCAGATCAGGCTCTAAACATTCCAGGTCATCTGATGCCTCGGAAACACTCATTCTGCTTCTTCTTCCCCGAACTATACTTTCGAACACAAATTCAGTTTGTACTCTGAGCTAACAAATGTTCTGCAAGTTGCAAGCTCGAAGTCTAAACAGAAATTTCACTTACTTACGTGGAGCTCTTGATTGTTCAACCACTTACCTATTGTCAGGTTTGTCTGACAGCTTCTTTGGCTGCTGTTTCATCTCGAAGTAACCTCGCCAAGCGATCGCCAGAACTTGCTGGTGCAGAACGACAGTTTCAAAGTCTGGTATGTCCACAACATATCGCACTCCGTACTCCCTTGTCCTCTCCAGAGTAATGGCTGCATCCTGGCAGCAGATACAATCGAGCCGTTCTGGCATAGCACATCACTTACTGCACTCATACCACTCGGTGTTACCAAGCCGGTTCATCGGAGGCCACGGGACGTCACCAACTGCAGCCATCTCTGCTTTGTCCTCATTCACATCGGAATTAGAAGCCTCCGCTTGTTCTGCCGCCTCCTTTTCTGAAACCTTTGGCTCTCTCCCGAAACCAAACATTTCCAGATCAGGCTCTAAACATTGCAGCTCGTCTGATGTCTCGAAATCGTTCATTCTGCTGGTTTCTTCTCCCCCGAACTACACTTTTGAACACAAATTCAGCTTGTGCGCAGTCTAGTCTCAATGACGTAGAAGGGCGCGGGGGGGGGGGGGGGGTATGACGTCATGCCCCCCCCCCCCCGAAAGGACAATTTCAAACTGATATTATATATATCAAGAATGCTTGGCGGATCTTGACACTCCATGCCGTGGACAAAGAAGAGGTACTCCGCACCGGTTTTACATTGGCTCTATCTGCTGAAGACTCCAAGACAGTAACACATTCAGTAAACTTGGAGAGGTTAGAGCCGGTGGCCTCTATGCTTCCACTCGGCTTGCTGATTGAATCGAGAATGCATTGCACATCACACTGCGACTCCATTGTTTAGTGGGTACGAGTGGAAGACTTGATGGGATACTTGGGAATATGATAGATGATGACGATCTACAGTAAACACGAAAGACACGCCAAGCTTAGATAGCAATCGAAAAACAACAGGAAAAATGAGGTTGAAGAAGCAGCTGCCAGAAGACAACTTACTTCAAGCAAGCTAGAAAATGTCTGTACTAGAACATAAAGGGAACAGTGGCTTATATCAGTAGAAACTGCATGTCTGTATGCCAAAAATTAAGCAAAAATTAAGCAAAATTATAAAATCATGAATTTCGCTACCGAAAACTTTCAAGAGTTGGGAAACTACAAAAAATGTAGGCCCACCACATTCATATGGAAACAGAGCATACTGAAATGTGATCCTGGCAAAATGAACAAACTTGCTGAAATCGCATCATCACTCCGTCCACTGCGTCCATAGACTACTAGTGAGCAGTCCTGTCTGCACTGGAGTTCTACAACTCTTTTTTTTACTGCTAGTTCTTCAAGAACAGCTTAGGGACCGGCCGAGGTTACCACTTGTTCTTCCAAAGTGATTAGTTTTCGTTTGGGGGGGGGGGGGTTCAGGAGTTTCGTTTAAAAAATAATTATTGAATGCAGCTCACCATGCACCCACGTACTGCTGGGTGCTGAATACGAAATCAATATTTTGTTTAAAGGGGAAGTATACCCTAAAATCAAATTTTCACCAGTTGTAGTCTTCGGGGTGCTGAGTCGAATGGTCTTGGTCCGAGGAAGCTGAGGCGCTCCCTTCCTACTTGAATCCCAATCGAACTCGCGCACTTCCACCGAAACTGGGTGACTGCGCCCTACGAGATGGGGATTTGTATGCAAAATGTCACTAAAAGCGCCATTTCGTTCTTATAAAAGCACGGATGACCGCGATTGGCCCATATGTTGTAGTCTTTTGGACGCTGAGTCGACTGGTTTTGGTCCGAAAAGGCTGCGATGCAGCGTTCCTCCTTTATTCCCAATCGAACATGGTTGAACAGGCGGTCACGTGCTCCTGCGTACACCAGTCACCTGGTCACCGTGCCTGCAGGGTACAACTTGCTAGCCTGTTTGACCTTTTTTGGGTGCAGTCCTGTCACTCGAGTTGAACTCGAGTTGAACAATGGTGTGAAAGTTGTCGCCTGCTGGCGCGGTGACCAGGTGATTTGGGCACCCAGGAGCACGTGACCGCTTGTTCAACCATGTTCGATTGGGAATAAAGGAGGAACGCTGCATCGCAGCCTTTTCGGACCAAAACCAGTCGACTCAGCGTCCAAAAGACTACAACATATGGGCCAATCGCGGTCATCCGTGCTTTTATAAGAACGAAATGGCGCTTTTAGTGACATTTTGCATACAAATCCCCATCTAGTAGGGCGCAGTCACCCAGTTTCGGTGGAAGTGCGCGAGTTCGATTGGGATTCAAGTAGGAAGGGAGCGTCGCAGCTTCCTCGGACCAAGACCATTCGACTCAGCACCCAGAAGACTACAACTGGTGAAAATTTGATTTTAGGGTATACGTCCCCTTTAATTTGTTTGCCTTCAGAAAGGGTGTGAGGGTAGGTGGCCGCCTGGGAGCTGAGAATACTAAATCCTATCGTTTTGGGAAGAAAAAAATCAATCGATAACCCGGACGCCCCTTGTGCCAGCATACACAATGTATATATGGAATATTCATGAGTGAGCGAGCTGATGCCTTTCCAATTCCTGAAGATTTGTGTGTATCTGTCTGTCTGTCTGTCTGTTTGTGTCCTTATGCTTGCGTTTCTGCTAGCATTGTAAATTCCCTTCTAGTGGTAGTATTCCTCTCTATACTGCTAGCTGTAATATTGCTTCAAGCACTGAGAAGAGACATAGCGCAGTACAACAGTAGCTTGCCAGTGAGTAGCATGACTGTGCCTGTATAGATATCAGGGTTCTAGCCAAGAAAAAAAATTACAGGGTGGGGGGGGGGCAAACAACCCATTTTTTCCATGTTCCACTATTACCTTGTCACAACAAAATGCAAAGTACAGGTGCACAGAGCACCCGGAATGATCGATTTGTGGCCCCATTTTCACTATGTGAAATGAAAACACAAAAATCGAAAAATGAGTAGGGTGGCATGCTTTCAAAGTAGGGTTCAAAGTAGGGGCGCTGCCACCCCCACCCGGCTAGAACCCTTGTTATGGAAGTTCATGAATAATGTGTCCACTGAAGAAACTGACATAATATTACAGCATCATTATAGTTATTATGCTCTGTGACAGTGTGGGGTAATGTAGTTTGGTAAAATGTGTGACTTAGTAGTGTGTACTGAACTAGAGACAGAGCACCAGTATATAGCAGATGTTTGCAATGATACAGGTGGTGGCTCACTCAAGTGATGTGTGTGTGTGTGTGTGTGTGTGTGTGTGTGTGTGTGTGTGTGTGTGTGTGTGTGTGTGTGTGTGTGTGTGTGTGTGTGTGTGTGTGTGTGTGTGTGTGTGTGTGTGTGTGTGTGTGTGTGTGTGTGTGTGTGTGTGTGTGTGTGTGTGTGTGTGTGTGTGTGTGTGTGTGTGTGTGTGTGTGTGTGTGTGTGTGTGTGTGTCACTTCAAATAGCTGTATGGTGTAGACCAGGCTGAATAGTGACAGTCAATTCTTCAGCCTTGCAAGCTGTTGAATGGTCCCAGCACAAGTTGCTATGGCTTCTGCCGTAGCATTGCTATCATCGCCTCTGGCGATGGGCGTCAAAGGTCAAAGGTGTGTGTGTGTGTGTGTGTGTGTGTGTGTGTGTGTGTGTGTGTGTGTGTGTGTGTGTGTGTGTGTGTGTGTGTGCCATGACGCCTGAGTTGACCTACTCTCTACTGTATTGTACTACATCCTGATTACTAGTGGTTAAGCTAGAACAAGTTGTATTGGTTACGGTGTTCTTAGGGCCCACTCTAGTTGTTTTCTTTCTGGCTTTCTGCTCATTCTTGGTATGCATGTGTGCATGCGCGCCCATGTACATAACAGGGTGATGAAAGCATCAATCTGGGATGGAAGTCATTGTGTTTTGACGTATTTCGGCCACCCAAGTACAAGCTACTTCTCTCTGCTATGGTTGGATTTGGTTGCCAGGTTACCATGGTATTCTTCTCTACTGTAGGTATGTTGTGCCCTGCACAGCACATGATGACATCACTGCATAGCATAGCACATAGTGACATTGCAATACACAACACACAATGACATCACTGCATAGCATAGCACATAGTGACATTGCAGTACACAGCACACAATGACATCACTGCACCGCACAGCACACAATGACATCACACCGTACACTGCGTACATCACACCATGACATCACTGTGCCGTACAGCACACAATGACATCGCTGCACCCCACAGCACACAATGATGCGCATTATAATGTTTTATATAATTGATCCTACCCTGTGTGTGTATATATGTGTGTGTGTGTGTGTGTGTGTGTGTGTGTGTGTGTGTGTGTGTGTGTGTGTGTGTGTGTGTGTGTGTGTGTGCACGTGAGTGTGTGCGTGCGAGTGTGTGTCCACATGTGTGCGTGCGCTCGCTCGTGTGTCCTGTGTGTGCTTCTGTGTGTTTGTACAGTGGTTGCCTGCACAGGTGTGCTATCTCCGGCCAGCCGTGGTGCTCTAGCGACATTTATTGTGGTCAGTACTCTGCTATCTGTTTTCTTGACTTGTTCTTGTCAGTGAAGATGTTCTCGATTTAAACGTTTTCCCTTGATCATAGAGGATGGTGGCGTTCCTACGGGTGCAGAAAACTCGGCCTCCAGCCGAGTCTCAAGCGAACCGTGATTTATTTTATTTTCACCGTTCAGATTGTGCATTCACTGTGCTGTGTGATCACCTGTTGCTAGCTGTCTGTTGCTTGCTCTTGGTTGTTTTCTGCAGGTTCTATTCGTTTGCATGAGTGGTGTAGCTGGCTATGTGTCTGCTCTCATCTACAAAAGTATGTTTGACACCAGCATTGCATGGTGTTACTACTTATTATTTTAGTACTTGTGATTTGATACCTGTTATTTGAAACTGCCTGTAGTGATCAGTGAATTACGGACTTCGTTCTTGCGTGCTGTACTGACATTGTTCCTGCAACTATGGTGCTAGGTTTCAGTGCACTGGGCGTCCGTTGTATGCGAGGTCACTTCTCGCTGTCACTGGCCTCTGCTGCATTTTGAAGGCACTATTGAACTCTTACTGTCTCTGTATTGTACTGGCTGGGGTCTGAGTTGACTGGCTGGGTCTGTATTGTACTGGCTGGGGTCTGAGTTGACTGGCTGAGTCTGTATTGTACTGGCTAGGGTCTGAGTTGACTGGCTAAAGGCAGATGGTATCTACTATCTGCTTGGTGTGTGTTTTGCTAAACGCAGGATGTTAGCCTTTTTGTCTGTACATATGCAGCAGACCCTGACAACAAGTGCATGTGCATACCCTGAGGACACTATTCATACGCTCTGGGACTCTTTACACAGACTTCTGTAGCATGTGTTGGTTAAAAGGAGTCTGCATTATGACATAATAGTAGTACATGTACATGATTGTACTGTCTCCCCGTTACATTAAAACTACTTCGTATTCTTCTTCCTTTTTCTAATCGTTCTCTTGCTTTTAATATGTTGCCATTGTTTCTTGTTACTCATTTGCAGTGTATGGTGGTAGCAATCGCAAGACAAATGTACTCATGTCAGGGGTGGTTTTACCTGGGTAAGAGTGTGACAAAGACAATATTAGTGCATGTTAGGATGTGGAGAGGGCAAGAGAAAAGAGATGTATGTGTGCACATGTTTGTGTGCATACATACAACGGAGGTGAAAGGCTGTGTAGCTGTTACATGTTGCTGCCTCAGCCAGCCTTGTTTGCTTGTACATGTGTGTATGTGGGTGCATGAGTGTGCATGAGTGTACGTGTGTATTATATTATGAGGTGGGTGTATATGCATGTATGGGTGTGCGTATGTGAGTGTGCACGCGTGTGTGCGTGCGTGTGTGTGTGTGTGTGTATTTGTGTTCATGTATTCATGCTTGAATGTTGATGCTTGATCTGTTCACAGGCCAACTGTTGACCTGCAGCCTCTCCGTGCTCTCTCTCTCTCTCCTCTGGTTTGCTTTCTAGTTTGTAGTTTGGAGGTGATATCAGAGATTCTTCATAGTTGCTGTTGGTTGTGCATAGTGCTAATGACTAGTAGTGAGTAGTGCTCCAAATTTACCAGTTTGTTTCTCTACTTGTGTTTCCCGTGTTCCTTCTTTTTATCTCTTCTTGGTCAGAGTTGTCTTTGGTATTCTCTTTGTCCTCAACTTGGTGCTATGGATTCAAGGCTCCTCGTCAGCAATACCTTTTACAACTATTGTAGCCTTGATGATTATGTGGTAAGCTGGCTTTATTGGGAACTTTGTTGCAAGTGGTCATGCTAATGCCTGTGTCAACGAGAGGGGTGGTCTGTGTGGCTGCTGGCATGGTTGTGTGGCATGGTTGTGTGGCATGGTTGTGTGGCATGGTTGTGTGGCATGGTTGTGTGGCATGGTTGTGTGGCATGGTTGTGTGGCATGGTTGTGTGGCATGGTTGTGTGGCATGGCTGTGTGGCATGGTTGTGTGGCATGGTTGTGTGGCATGGTTATGTGGCATGGTTGTGTGGCATGGTTGTGTGGCATGGTTGGTATTAGAGGCTCATAGTTTCTTTAATTCTCGAAGGTATGCAAGAGACGTTACTGGCGCTAGCCAGCATCCACAGCGCTTTAATTCGGTGTGTGTGTGTGTGTGCGTGCATGCGTGTGTGTGTGGTAGGGCCTTTCATGTGATGCGCCATGGTTGGTGCGGTATCCCGTATGTGTCCCGTACCGTACCGTAATTATATTGTATGCGAATTGTATGGGGGGAGGGGCATGCAAGGCGATAGTGCGTACAATATATGCATGTATAGGGTTTATGCAGCATCGTACGAGTTGAGATATGCTGGAGAAAAAATGAGGACGACGAAATGCAATTGGAATTCACGTTAATTTCGAGAGAGAGAGAGAGAGAGAGAGAGAGAGAGAGAGAGAGAGAGAGAGAGAGAGAGAGAGAGAGAGAGAGAGAGAGAGAGAGAGAGGGAGAGGGAGAGGGAGAGGGAGAGGGAGAGGGAGAGGGAGAGGGAGAGGGAGAGGGAGAGGGAGAGGGAGAGGGAGAGGGAGAGAGAGAGAGAGAGAGAGAGAGAGAGAGAGAGAGAGAGAGAGAGCATTTGACCCATTGCATGTGTCTATCTGCAAGTAGTGTGTAGATCTGCATGTGGTTCATGAGGTCTTGAGATTATCTCCTGTGCTGGTAGCGTTGAGTGTGATTGTTGTAGTGCCATGGGTGCTGTAATCCATGAGTGAACAACTTGACCATGTGTTGTGATCAGCTTGTGCTTTTTGTTTAAACCAGTACAGACTGTATCATTGGAACTGCTGTGATGTGCTAGTGATGTGCTAGGCATTTGGTCATAGTGTTGTGATCAACTTGTTCTCTGTATCTGCACAGGTGTTGTGTGTCGGAACCACTCGTTCTACTTGGGGCTTACTTTGGTTTCCAGCGTCCAGCTATTCAACACCCTGTTCGCATCAGTAGTGCGGAGCTAGACCTGTCACGAAACGTATCATCACATCTGCTCCCTCTTGTTGGCGGGCTGCTTCCGTTCGTAGTTCTCTTCATTCCTATCTTCTTCATACTGACTAGTATCTGGTAAGTACTACTACTACAGTGTATAGTAAGTCGGGCTTTTTACACCATTAATCAAACTTTTCGGTCAAAACAGTGCAAAATGAGACTGAAGTAACAGTATCACTCATGCCTACAGTGACTTACGGCATGGCAGTCACTAAGACATTCGTTACCTAGTGGATGTGTCTCCGCACTGGTTTGGCAAGAGAAGATATTGTCACATGGTCTGCGGACGGAATGACTTTTTGCTGGGCATCCAAACACTATTAACGTTGGGACATGTTATGTGTGCCATATGATAGCAGGTCACGGCCGTGATCTTGATCACATGGTGCATAGACCACTAATCACGTAGATCTTCCAAGCCTGAGGTAAAAAGTATGCTCTCGTGTCGTCTCCGCGGATGCTTCAACTCACTGATATGCACCATTCGAGACCACACACGCCGATCGTTTCAGTCAGGAATTCCGGGTGCCCACATGTAGCAGTACTTGACCCTACACTGTACAAGATTGTAGCACCCGTGGTACATGGTACACACTGTACAGTATTGCTGTGCACTACATCAAGAGTACATAAACCAGAGTGTGCAACTCGGGATGGTTCCTGTGGGAGCGTAATTCGTGCAGTACGTCATTTCTGACGGCATGGTAAGCCACAGGTACGGTGAAAAGTTGCGTAACCAGTCGCGGTGGTGCAGGTCACTGAGTTTGTCCTGATTTCGGTTTTTTGATACGGATAGCCTGGTGACTTTACTTGTCGGTGGATGTACGCAGCGTACACAGTCACACAAAACACCGAAATCCTGAAACAGGACGTCTAAAATCAAGCAAACTTGGCTGATTTCCGGGCTATGAAACATGAAAATTTGAGCTGTACGCAAGCCGCGGCTTGGCTGACCTCATCAGGGTGACGTAGTGCACGAACTGCGCTGTTTCAGATCTGATATGCACAGTTGCACACTCTGGTTTATGTACTCTTGACTATGCATGGGAACACGCTAATGTGTGCTTTCTCCATGTCAAGTGTGTCACGTGCACTTCTAAACCTATTCCGGATAGCTGATGTTCGGATCATAGTCAATGTTCAACTGTACTGAGGTATGGTTTGGGTGGAGTTGATCAGTTACTAAGGACACCTATTGTTATAACCATGGTAACTGTTCCTGTGATTCTGGTTGTGTGATTGGTATTCTCCACTTCTTTGCTTTCTGCTCAGGTCAAATCAGATATACTATTTATTTGGATTCTTGCTAATAGTGCTTGTTTTATTCATGATAACGTCTGCGGAGACAGCTGTGTTACTCTGCTATCTACAACTCTCAGGAGGAGTAAGTAATAATTGCAACTCACAATACACATCTACTGTACAGTTTGTAAAAACACCATGGACGTTTTGTAACTTTTGTTTGAAATGATCTTCTGCTTTGGGGGCTGAATTTCTCCTTCTGTCTCCGTATTCAATTGGACACCAATTGTAACGGAGACTCTGTTGGGCTGTGACGTTATTACAAGTACGGTATAAACGTTTGCTAGGTTTGTGTATCCAGATCTACAGTTCTATAATCCCCTCACCAATGAGCGTTTTGAAGACCAGTTTTGTTCTAGGCACAAAGTCACATGGCCACAGCAAATGGGTTCTAGGTTTTTGCCCTTTCAATGGATCTGAACTCTGATCTACTTACCCCGCTGTTAGGAGCTCCATCGTTGATCCTTGATCGTTGACAACGGGGTCGGTGGTAACTAGGTATACCTACCAGTGCGGATACGCCGATCTTAGGCTAGCTGACTCCGATGCAAGCTGTGAAAATGTCCGTTGCCAGTATGAAGATCTTGATCAGTGTTATAATGTTTTGTGTCGTGTCAGGATTTTCGTTGGTGCTGGACATCATTTTTATCATCGGGCAGTGTTTCACTGTACTTCTTCATTTACTGCACCTATTACTACTGGGTAAGGTTGCTGCTCTTCTTACTGCACCTATTACTACTGGGTAAGGTTGCTGCTGTTCTTGTGCCTTCACACTGAGATGCAATGCATGGACTATTGTGTGAGTGCTCCAGGCATTGTACGACAATTGCTTGAGCTTCACTGTACATGTAGTATCATGCAAGCAATGCCAACGCTAACGCACATGTGTCACATAAGCTGCACAAACAACGGAGGCGAAGGGCTGTGTAGCTGTAATCAAGTTTCACGCGTTTTGGCGATCGTCAGACAGCGGCATTCACTTGCAACTTGAAGTTGCAGCTACACAGCCTTTCGCCTCCGTTGTTTGGGTATACTGCTGTGCACATGTGTGCACCAAGCACTCTGCTTCGAGCTGCCTCGGCCGGCCCTGTGTCACATAAGCTGAGTAGTAAACGCCCATTGCGCATTGCCAAATACAATACATGTACTGTTTCACCGGTTCCCTCGCAAACCCACACTTACATCAGACACAACCATTGGAGGCATCAATCTATTTAGAAGACTGTATTACCAAACATGTTCTCAAAAAACCATTGAAGAATCGAACCCAAAAAGAACAAAGAATGGAGAGCTGGGGACGCACGTACCCGGCCCCGTACCAGACACACAGCCAAGGAGGATGACACCGTAGGGTACCTACGCTTGACTGGCAAAGAAAACAGCAAGCAAAGAAAATCGGCCAGCGGGCGCAGTTCAAACATCTTGAACGACACGCGCAAAGCAAAACACGTGACAGAAAATAATGCATAATGTCATCTGTACTCACGTGGACATGCAAAAAAGGTCAAATCTACACAAAAGCGAGAGCCGCAAGAAACAGCACAAATAAATAATAATTCGAACAGCGAAGAACTAGAAAGGCAGATTTCTAATTATCGAAGAACAAGAATGTATTGTAGAGTCCCAGCGCAACTGCCGGAGGATGCTGGCACCCACCAGACGGGTGGTGGCTGCCCCTTCCAGAGAGATAGAACGAAAACTGAAGCAGAGGAGCCACGTTACGAATAGTGAAACGCACAAGGTAAGAATAATCGAGCAGTGTCCAATTATGACATACTGAGTAATATACATGTTAAACGAAGACAAACACTAACAAATGGAGAACGTTCCAACATTTCCCCTCTCACGAACGACTCCAGACTAATCGGAAGTCGTGAGATCATCATATTGACCGGTACCTTCATCGATGGGTTCAACTTCCAACGGCACTAACTGCACTATCGGCCGCTTGGACTGCTTGGCGCCAATTCTGATGTTCAGCACACGGACCAATCCATCAGATCCGGGGAACACTTCCATCACCTTGGCTAGCGGCCAACGCCCTCTTGGAGTAGACTTGTCCATGCAGAGGACAATGTCACCGGGCTTGATGTTGCGGCTGCGTCGAGACCATCGCTGAAGCACATTCAGCCGAGGCACTATTTCTCGAAGCCATCACCACCATACCTCGCGTAGGAGATGTTGGAGGAGCCGCCAACGACGCTGTGGGTGCAACTCAGCGACTTCTTCGAGTGGCAGAGTCAGCTCGCACTGTCCAGCTAGGAAGTGCATCGGTGTTAGCGGTGCGGCATCATCCACGTCAGTCCGGACAGCGGTCAACGGACGCGAGTTCAGTAGGCCTTCCGCACTCACCATGGCAGTTACAAGTTCTTCATCAGTGAGATTGACCTGGGACAGAGTTGCCGTCATTGCGCGCTTTGCTGCCTTGACCACACACTCAAATACGCCGCCAAAGTGCGAGCGAGAGGTGGATTGAAGCGCCAGTGAACTCCTTGGCTGGCTATACTTGCGGCCACTTCATCAGAACCCAGCGCTTGAACGGCTTCTCTTAGCTCGCGCTCTGCACCGACAAAGTTCATCCCGTTGTCTGACACGACCTCAGCTGGCACGCCGGAAACGGGTGAATGCTAGCAGAAACGACTCGGTGTCCAGGCCATACGCCATCTCGAAATGACAGGCTCAAGATTGCAAACAAGAGAAGACACAGAGATACCTCTTGAGCTGGGTCTTGCCACGTCCTTGTTTTGTCCGGAACGGACCGGCATAGTCAACTCCCACTCTTGAAAATGCCTGGTACGGTGGAGCTGTTCGGAATAGCGGGAGCGGTGCTATCTGCTGCGAAGCCACAGTGGCCCACTTCTTCTTGCAGAGCACGCAGTGTGCCGATGAGATAGTGTGGCAACCTTGCCACGGATGATCCATGTACTATAGTATGGAACACATGAGTAATGCATGTGACTATGCTGGGATCAGCAATGCACTGTTCCGCACCCTACACAACCATGCCCAGGTGGCCGTATGGGGTGTTGGTGGTACAAATTACGTTATTGCACGATGGACTTATTACACCCTTGACCACTTCCGGGTTGTGCAACATTTCAGGAGAATAGATATCAGGCGGCCAGGCGAAACCTTCGATACACATTGCAAGGCTGGAGAGAGAGAGAGAGAGAGAGAGAGAGAGTCACAGTCCTGTATTGACTTCTATAGTTATCTTATTCTACTCGTGTAGTATTCTCATGCATCTTAGGGAGACACGTCCTGATTCCTTGCTAATCGGCACTATGTTCTTGTTTGGATATTGGCTCCTGCTCAGCATACCCTCCACATCATGGACTTGACAAGTGCAGTGTTGTATCTAGGATACACACTCGCTCTCACGCATTTACTATTTGTGGCTGCAGGTGAGTGTGACTTACATGTTCTGTCTGCAGATTGAGTACAATACAGTATGTATGTTTGTGAAGTTTGAGTAATCAGGTGTGCTATCTCCTCCTATTACAAAGTGCAGCCACTGTTTTCTCTTGTATAAAAACTTGTCTCGTATAGACGCCTGTTTTGAATACAAGCCTGATTTCCAGCATGGACCGTCAGCGAAAGAGCTTGGTTCGAAGTTTGTTGATTACATACATAGAAGATTAGAAATACTCGGTTTGAATACAAGCCTGACTTGAATGGAAGCCCAGCCCCATACATGGCAACAGAACTGGGAAGAAGCTGCTCAACTTCATCATAGAAGTTGGTCAAATACCGAAAACCCCAGTTGTCCGTTTTTTTCTCTCTCTCTAAAACACACTGTAGCATTACTTGTAGAAATCAGTGAAATTATTCCCCCCCCCCCCCCCTCTCTCTCTCTCTCTCCCTTTCTTTCTTCCTCCGGTCTCCACACATTGATTTCTTGGTGCTGACAGCAATGCTGCTGTGTCTTTGTGTGTTGTTTGTTGTGCAGGCAGCATTGGCTGGATTTCTTGCCTTCTTTTTACCAGACGTATTTATACTTCAATTAAACTTGATTAACGCTCCTACAGTATTGGTGTTTCATTGTGTTTGGAGTCTGTGTGTGTGTATGTATGTATGTGTGTGTGTGTGTATGTGTGTGTGTGTATGTATGTGTGTGTGTGTGTGCGTGCGCGCGAGCAGACACTGCACTGTATGTAGTTGGTGTGCTTGTAGAGGCCCTGGTGTTAGTGCTGGGCAGTGTCCAGACTCATGTGAAAAGGTTTACCCTGATGAAATTGGGGAGGCGTTTCACGGCACTTCTGCCAGGATATTTCCTTGGCATCTTCTGACTTGCACGAATGATAATCTGGCTTGCTTGCTGGAATTATGTCGATTCAAGAAGGATTCATATGCCGATGGGACAGGGGTGGTTTAACTGAAACTTGCGTCCAGGGACGCACAGGCTCAATATGCATGGTAGGATAACCACTGCTTCAGGGAGTTCTGGAAAGTGGCCCCACAAGCCGTAAAAACCATATACCACACTGTGACATTCTATCTTTCTCTGACAACTCGACCTTATTCGAGGCTGGTAGGTGTCGGTAGAAAACAGTACACCTGCAGGATGTCAGTGATAGCAATGAAGCTGTTTTCAACACAAAAGTCAATACTGTGACAGTCTAGGCCGCATACTGGTAATCGAGTCATTAGAGGGGTTAAGCTATAAGATGCACGTTATTTCCGACGTGACGCGCAATTTTTTTGGCGTAAAATTCCAAATTTTGAAGTGAGCTGCAGGTCATTCGCATTGTTTTTCGACGCGTGAGCCAAACAACCCGAGCTGAACTTTCGCGTCACGTCGGAAATAACGTGCATCTTACCTCTCTATTGTCATACTTGAATGTCATCGGGGGGGAGGGGGTCGGTGAACAGACGGACGCGTCGACCACGGCACTGGCTAGCAGCGTGGCCATGGTGGCTGTAGCATGAAATCACTGGGACTCGTACGAGAACTACATGACAAGGCCGCCATGACAAGTCGACGGTAGCAGGGATCCCGGCCCATTCCCGGGAGCCCTCCGGCTCCCTGGACGGTAGACTGCCCTCGTCTCAACATGCACTCGTGTCGTGACATACCCCTACTACCAAGAGTATATAACCCCCCTGGGGGGTTATATACTCTTGCTACTACTGACATGTGCACATGTGACCGTTTATCGTGGCTACCGTATGTGCACTAGGGCCAGACAGATTCTGCTCCGATCGCCTCGATATTTTGCGGCAAAATGTTGCTGCGAAATCTTTGATATTTTGCCGAGCCTGGCACAAGAAACTCGATATTTTGCTCCATTTTGCTCCGGGAAAACGTGTATTATATCCACTTCCCGTACAATCCCGTACAACGTTTCATAAAAATCGCAGGGTCGGTTTCTCAACATAGGTTCTTCCAAAATCAAGTCGATCCACAGTGAATCCCATAGATCTTTCGGTGACATAATCTCGTCCTGGGCAGTGTATCCTGCTGAACGGGTAAAAAACAAGGAAATCCAAGTATCAGGCATCGATTTTACCCAACATCTCGATATTTTGCTCCGATTTTTCCGGCAATTTCCGCTCTTTCAATTCTTAGATATTTTGCCGAAAGAATTGCCGGCAGGATCTGTCTAGATGTCTGGGCATTATGTGCACTAGCCACCAGGTCCAGGCCCGCGGCCAGTGCGCAGGGAGTCTTATTTTTGCGCTGGTAGGTCTACATGGCTAGCGCCGCGGCAGGAGCGGTCCACATGGCATATGGCCCTGCTACTGCACAACTACACTGACAGTCTGTGTGCATGTACTAGTAGGCTGTGCACATAGATTTTATTGTTTGAAATTTCATACTGGCATGATGAGTGTCCGGGGATGTCCTGAGCATGAGGCTGAGATATCTCGCACACAACTAACTACTGTAATTTTTTGCTTTTCGTCACATTTTGAAAGTAGCACGACAAGTAAAACTAAATGCATGTTGCTCTAAACTTCACACAAGGACGTTGTAGTCATGTCGTGTTCACTTTTCAATCCTCTGGCTGTGCGCAGCTGGGTGAGATCTATACGCTGTGGTCCCCTTGTTGCTAGAGCCTCACAGATTCCTGGAAATAATATCGATCAGCAGAGAGTGATGCCATGTCGGTACCAATCCACCCTGTTACCTTTTCACCATGCCTTTCCAGGTCAGTGTTGAGCATTACAAATCATTATTTTTATTACCAAATACTGCATCGCTTTTCATTTGGAAACAATTCCGTCCTGGTATGGTGCTCTATCAGGCTCTCAACAAGAATTTACGGTGTGTGACATGTTGTGATCATAAGCACATGCTTACAATGTAGCATGGAATGCTCCCACAGTGCACGTGATAGTACTATACACATAATAGCAAGAGTACATAACCCCCCAGAGTGTGCAACGCCTGATCCAGCTCTGCATAGGGTCTTGGTCGAGCGTAATCGGATCTTCTGATGTCATGCGTACACTCCACACCAGCACAAGGCCGGTCTCAAGGCAGGGCACCGTTGTTTTTGATCCGAGAGTACCCGCGACTCCCCGGGTTCCTCTCAGATGTGTACGGTATTATGACGCAAAGATCCGATTACGCTCGGACCAAGACCCTATGCAGAGCTGGATCAGGCGTTGTACACTCTGGGGGGTTATGTACAGTCAACTTCGCGTATAACGACACTCGGCGGAACATCAAAAAGGTGTCCTTATTCGCAAAGTGTCGTTATACCCGAAGTCTCATTATAATGTATTACAGTGGGATGGGACTTTGCTCTGGGCATAGAAATTCTGTCGTTATTCGCGAATTGTCGTTATATCCGCAGTCGTTATTAGCGAAGTTGACTGTACTCTTGATAATAGCAACGGCCAATGAAGTGCTGATACACGTTCTCGGGTGCAGTGTCAGGGGGCGTCGGGAGGTATTCGACATTGGTGCGGCCGCATGAGTAGGTGGGGGTCCGGGGTCCTCCCTGTGAAAATTTTAGGAAAATTGGACCCAAATAGCCCATATTTCATTGCTTCAAAAGTCACAAGATGAAATTATTGGTGCGACTTTGGCCGGACCTACTGCACCGGTTCCGACGCCCCTGAGTGTTGCGATTGCGATTTGTTGCACCTGCCGCGCATGCCAGTGTACACTGGGCTGCAGTGTCCCGGGCGCGGTACCCGAGAGGATGAGTCCACGTTTTATTAGCCATTCAACTTGTAGCACTAATAGAGAATTGCAAAGGGCTCGGCCATAACATTAATGCAGAGCGCACTGAACGCTTTATCACTGTAGAGTCAATGGTCTTGTTCCAAGTAGGCTGTTATGCGTTGCTCGGCGGATATTGGGATTTGAACTCACGCATGCGGTACGCTGCATTCCGTTGGTGTCATTGAGGCCAGCCAGGAATTCACACATCATTTTGAATCCAAAATGGCCAATTTCGGAGCCAGCTTTGCTTGAGGAATGCTGTATCGCAGTGCTCTTGGACCTAGACAATTCAGCAGGCTCTGAAATTGCATTTACACTATCTTACACGGATGTTTAATGCAGTTCTGGGGTACAGTCAACCTCGTGGATAATATCCTGGGGTATTACAGTAACTTGCGAATAACAATACTATCTTCAGACCTAGTGATTATTTGACTGCATAGAATTCAATGTCGCTTATCCGGCGATCAGTTATCCGGCACGTCGGTTATCCAGCAGCACAGTGACAGCTCACACACTGTATTGCCTTGATGTGACCCTACATACAAGTCAGTCTGTATAGATGAGCATTGTGGCAGTCTTTGGATAATACCAAGAGTACATAAACCAGAGTGTGCAACTGTGCATATCAGATCTGAAACAGCGCAGTTCGTGCACTACGTCACCCTGATGAGGTCAGCCAAGCCGTGACTTGCGTACAGCTCAAATTTTCATGTTTCATAGCCCGGAAATCAGCCAAGTTTGCTCGATTTTAGACGTCCTGTGTCAGGATTTCGGTGCTTTGTGTGACTGTGTACGCTGCGTACATCCAACGACAAGTAAAGCCACCAGCCTATCCGTATCAAAAAACCGAAATCAGGACAAACTCAGTGACCTGCACCACCGCGACTGGTTACGCAACTTTTCACCGTACCTGTGGCTTACCAATGTTACCATACCATCAGAAATGACGTAGTGCACGAATTACACTCCCACAGGAACCATCCCGAGTTGCACACTCTGGTTTATGTACTCTTGATAATACTAGTACCGTAAAGTACCGCCAGAGCGCCCCACCATCTCGTCCTTTCGTGGTCGTCTTGTGGAGGTAGTTTCCTGTCTGTAGGTCACACGACACGAATCTTGTACAAACAATGCACGTTGTGCAGTCAATCCATACCCAGTTTACCTTCGAGGGGATGCGAGCTCCACATAAGAGAAGAAAGAACATGTCACGTGTGACCTTAGTACACTAAAGTTCTCACACCGTACAAACTTAGTAGCACTCTGCCATACGATTTTCTTCCAATGGCTGTAAAATCAAGGTGGGGCGAGACGGGGCGCTCTGGCGGTACTAGTAACAGAGCATCAAGATACAGGTAAAATCATGCACTTCAGTTGTTTTGATGTGTGAACTCAAGATGGCTATGAAGCTTTAGTTATCCAGAATATTCATTTATCCAACAGAGTCAGGACCCAAGGGTGATCCAGAATATTCATTTATCCAATAGAGTCAGGACCCAAGGGTGATACAGAATATTCATTTATCCAACAGAGTCAGGACCCAAGGGTGATACAGAATATTCATTTATCCAACAGAGTCAGGACCCAAGGGTGGCGGATAACTGACACCAAGAGTACTAATAACCAGGTAACTAGTATCTACTCTTGCTGACACACAACTACTTTCAAACTCACAAATAGCGACAACTCGTGAATAACGACACTTTTCTCATGCACCATTGAGGGTCGTTATTGCAACAGCCGGCCCGTGGCTGAAATCCCCAAAACGCGATTAGCTGGTTCGTTGAGCACTGACCCGGCTCCGCACCCATTGCCTGTGGGGGAGCACCATACAACGGATAGTAGTACTGTGAATGGGAATGGAGAGCTGCAGGTCCAAGTCCACTCATGGATCCAGGCGTGCTGGACACCACGGGCAAATCTCGAGCTGCTGCACACAAAGCAGCATGGCTTGACGAAACAATTGGTAAGGCATCTGTGTTTCTGCTTTCTCAACTGGTGGATACATGACTGTACATGTACTGTATGTGTTCACGTGTGCAGTGAATGATCTGGATGCTGCACGACATTTCTATGGCACAGTCCTTGGTTGTGAGGTGAGGGACAGTACAGGACCACTGATTTTTACGTTTTCTTGATTTAACGCCGGTGACCAAGCAGGCGGCAGTTACTCTACTACATCACTAGTACATGGGCTAATGGCATGTCCTTGCATGAGCTGGTGGTGTGACATACTGATTGCACGGGGTTCGAACCTGCAACCTTTTGCTTGAAAAGCAGCAAATATATATCACTTCATCACAAGGCTGCACGCATGTACATGTACATATAACACTGCATATTACACTACATATGGTGGCCATGGCCAGGAGTGCATAGCCATTACCAGCTAGAGTCCATAACCAAGAGTATTATAACTGTGATCATTGGTCAGTGCGCTTCGTGCTGTCTTCATTACGTAACTAGCCTACCGGTACATCATGTCGTTACGCTGTCAGACTGTGACTCATGCACTCAAAAATTAAATACGCGATCTCTCTACCAGCCCACCAGTTTTGCTTGATTTGTTCAGTCCAAGCGTGGCCCCAAATTGTAGGTTTCCGAACTCAAATTCCACTTGAAAGTTAGTTTCAACCCACTGGGGGAGCGTGGTTTCGATTCTCCACAGTGCACAGATGAAGTTGCATGATGTAATGAATGCAGTGCGTCACGCAGTTGATCGTTTGAAAAGGTATCACATTTGCATAACGTTACTCCTGGTATGGACCATTGTTACCTGTAATCTTGTACAATGCGTGCGGGCGCATGCACATACACACACGCACGTGCACACACAAATACGAACACACACAAACACACAAACATACACACCTGTCCTGAACATTGCCGTAAAACGGTCACATGTCACATGTCACCGTACTTCAAACTTTTTTCTTCTTATATTCTGTGCTATGTGCCTTTCTATGTAGGAAGGTAGATCATCAAACAAGTGGATTGACTTTAGTTTGTTTGGCCATCAGATTGTAGCTCATCATTCAAGTAAGATTGTACTTGTAAGGTTTTCAACTTTTTGAATTACTTTAAAAAATTGTGAACTCCTGAAACCCGTCTGTTTAGGCCGAGCTTACTTTCCTTCATTCAGCCTCATCTCAGTGTCCATGATCTTGCTGATAATGTGGTAGTTACTACGACACCAATATCTGTTGTGATCAAGCGGGGTCAAGGACCAGCTTGAGAGGTTGTGCAGTGCCTCATTGCATGTTCATGTATATTTGTTGTTGATATTGTAGAGGTTCATCCATACGTGGATCACCTAAATCCTGTTGACGGAGATGAGGTAAGTCACCCTTGAATGCATTGTATCCTATACGTTTAGCATAAGCTAAATACATTTTCACTTGGCCTGTTTCTTGGGTCATCAGCAACTTGTTAGTTTTGTCCATTCGGTTGCTAGTAGAACAGTGATAACAACCCATGACACAGTGACATACATTGCACACTCATTAGGTTTCTACACACTGGCAACATTAGGTCTTTCCTTCTATGTGTATGAAGTAACAAAGTTACATGTACACATTTTACCCTGTTGTCTCTGGCTACTCATCTTTGCGCTGTTTCTATTACATCTCTGGTGCTTACTTTCGAAATGAAGCTCATTTTACAGTTGTCCAGTTTCTTTCTGGCTATTTTCCACCCGATGGGAAGGCATCAAAAAGACTTGAAGAAAATTTGAAAAATGTTGCGAGGAGCCTGGAAATGGTGCTAGTCTCGAGTGTAATAACACGTTTGTCTCCAAGAAAACTATCTCATCTACAGTATGATTTCTTTAGTCTTTAGTCCCATGCTAGGACAAGCTCAGCAGCAGCATGGTCGAAGCCCCATGCTAGGAGAAGCTCAGCAGCAGCATGGTCTGCGAGGAGAATTTACGGTGAAAACCCCATTCACCCAAATGAACTATGAGCGCTTCTGGGACGCCATTTTCCTTTTGCCACTACCCGTACATGAATGGTACTAGTAGTGTTTTGAAATGTAGAAATCAAGGAATGCTCAGCATGGTGATGTAGGTGGGGTGACAGACTGCTAAGCCTAAGAGTCACTCTGTTGTTGTTGTTGTTGTTGTTGTTGTTGTTGTTGTTGTTGTTGTTGTTGTTGTTGTTGTTGTTGTTGTTGTTGTTGTTGTTGTTGTTGTTGAACTCTTTGTCTTTGGCCTTGTGTGTTTGCATGTGCACATAGGTTCCTGTGCCGCACTTCGGCGTTGTCCTAGAATGGAAGCAGTTTGAGAAATTTTCTGAGCGCCTGGTTTCTTATGATGTGAAGGTACGAGTAAGCAGTTATACTTAACCATAGAAAGTTCAGAAAATTCGTTCATGTTGTCGAAAAATAATTGTAAATTTTGAAGAGCCATCCGTAATCTTCTCTATTTGCCTCGGCCACTCAAAGTGTAACCAGTACTATCCACCTGACCATATACACCCCAATCCCCACCTGACCATATACACCCCAATCCCCACCTGCCCATCCACACCCCAATCCACACCTGGCCATATACACTCCAATCCCCACCTGGCCATATACACCCCAATCCCTACCTGCCCATCCACACCCCAATCCCCACCTGACCATATACACCCCAATCCCCACCTGCCCATCCACACAAAAACTAGGTTGTGTGCGGGTGGAGATGCATGCTCAGAAAGCATTGATTCCAGACTCGAAAGGAGGCATGTTTAGCTTGGGGTTGTTGATAAGCTCTCCCACCTTCACCTGCTGGCTGTGCCTGGCCGTGTAACTACGAAGCCACTGTCCCACCAATGCCTTGCTCATCTATCTATTTGTGTACCAAAGTGGGTGGTGGATGTGATACAATGCTTATCACATGTTCCCGAACACTGTATAACTGCACACTAGATGTCTGACTGATAGCAAGGAGTAACACATGTTCACAATTATCACACCAAAAATGTAGTCTGTGAACGAATCAAGTGACTGACCATTGGCAAGGGAGGTCTTGAGCGATGTATGTAATGAGCTAATTGTGCACGTTTTTCTCCAGCACATTGAAGTGGTTTGTGTGTGTGTGTGCGAGTGTGTGTGTGTGCGTGTGTGTGTGTGTGCACGTGCGTGCGTGTATGTGCACGTGCATGCGTGTATGTGTATGTGTGTTTGTACGCCTGTGTTTTGTTTGGCAGTTCATCATTGAGCCTCATATCCGGTTTCCAGGATTGACTGGAGAGCAGGTAATCCTGCTTTTTAGGTTGTGCTTAGGGTGTTAGCGGCCGTCGTGAGTTCCCTTCGGGAACGAACACGATAATTTACTTCTTTTTTTACATAGTGGAATCTGGATCCAGATCAATTTAATCGATCCTTCAAATCTATCGAACTTTGCCCTGGGTTGAACTTACAATATTGAGTGACTTTCTCTTTCAGTGTTTCCACGTGGGAGAGAGGGGGAGAGAAAGAGAGAGACAGAGAGAGAGAGAGAGAGACAGAGAGAGAGAGAGAGAGAGAGAGAGAGAGAGAGAGAGAGAGAGAGAGAGAGAGAGAGAGAGAGAGAGAGAGAGAGAGAGAGAGAGAGAGAGAGAGAGAGAGAGAGAGAGAGAGAGAGAGAGAGAGAGAGAGAGAGAGAGAGAGAGAGAGAGAGAGAGAGAAATACAGATACCGGCAAGATGTAGGTCAGTATCTACACCATTACGATAAGATGTTCTGTGTGTTGATTTCATGTGTAGTATACAATGTTCTTCAAGGATCCTGCTGGCAACAATCTGGAGTTTAAGGCGTTGCGGCATCCTGAGCAGCTTTTTCAAAAGTTCACAACAAAGGAGCAAGAGCTACCAAAAGAATGAACTCATCCCACTTCTACATCTTAGTAAGGTTTGGTGTAGAATCGTTTCAGTGACGCTGTTATACTAGCCTTGTAAATATCTTTGAGCTCTAGATATTGCTCTAAATGTCCCATGCCAGTTATAGTACCATCGGCAGATGTCCAGTTCTACAGCAGTTTTCCCATGCCGACTTGCAGCACACCATTACCGATTTACCCCCCCCCCCTTTAGGTATTTCCAGACCGTTGATAGTGCCGACATTATTTGGTCCACGAGTAGAAACGTGTGGACGACAAGTCTTTCTTTAGGCGCTTAGATTTTACTGATAAATGTACTTCAAAGGAGTATGAAGTATATCCTCACTCATGCTCTTAACGTTATTATGCAGCTTCAGCTGCGTTTACCCTATTTTGATCACTAAACTACTACTCAATTTTTACAATTATATCATCGTATTGTTTTATGTTTATTTGTTCTTCATACTCCTGTTTTCTTTAATCATACAAGGTTGTTTTGGCTATGGAGCTCAGCGTTTCTATCTGCCTACAAAGAAAAGAGAGTTTGACTATGCTAAATTTTGACAATGACACCACATTGTCCCGAGCCAATTTGTTCTTTTAAACTTCCTGTTGTTACTTCTATGCATGTGCATGTGCAGGCACATGTTTCCATCATACCCCACTTGTATGCGATGTTATTGAAAGATGAGCACTTTGAGCAGCAGTAAGTCGTGCCCTCTGTTTCAAAATGATTGGTGTTTGCACTGGAACACACGGTACAGATGCATGAATGTCCTTGCCAGTAGATGATATACTACCAAGACTCAAGGCAAGAGTATGAAACCTCTCAGGAGTGTGCAACTCTGCTTATGGGGTCGCTGGCACTAGAACTGATATTATGAGGTCTATGTGTGCAGCAAGTAGTATTAGTTTGCACTGCAGCCATTCATACAATGTAGGTTATCTGAACCTCTCTCATCCAAACACGTCAACTATAACCAAACTACCAAACCACTGTGCTGGAGAATGATGTACTCGTACGATATCAGCTGCAAATGACACGCCATGCCTAAAAATTTGCATCTTTCCCGACTGCTTGTTGACTTGTGCATGCAGGTTTCATGCACCAGTCAGTGTATTTGTCAAGTTCAACTGCATGGAATACAACTACTGATGACATACCAGTGAATGTACGTACTATGAGAAACCTTGGAAAGTCACACTGAGTAACGTTAGCACAAGACCATGAAATAACTATGGTAAGCACATGAAATAACTACGGGTATGGTAAGTACCAGTCCTGTATTTCAAACTGTACATACCGGTAGCAGTTACAAGTACAGTCAAACCTCTTTAGGACGAACATCAAGGGACCAATGATATTTGTTCGCAATAACGGGAGTTCTTCTTATCGATACTTGTATGTTTTACCCAGTGAATACACAGGGTTTTATCCAATACACTTACGAATACTAGTTCTTCTTAGGCAAACATTTGTCTTATCAGTGTTCTTCCTAACGAGGTTTCACTGTAACGTTTTTTACAACACGTCACATGCACACAATGACATATACGGTAGAGTCGCACACCCTAGAACATTGTTCCCAAGAGGTTAGCCTGGGAAGTTCGTATTTTTTAAGCAATCCGGCTGGGTTCTTATAAGTTTTAGCACGTTCTAAGAAACAATTCGTACTGGATCATATGTATCCCCAAAGCTGCCAGAAAACCAACACCACCTTTTTTTTAAACTTTAGTCTGTCGCGTTCTTAGCATTTCAGGCTGGACGTTCTTGGTCTCCATGTTCTTCGGCACGACTCCACTGGAGTGTGGATCACGCAGAGACGTATGTTGTCCATCAGGGAGTGGTAATCATCTCTGTTACTTTGTTCAATAGAACGCATCGGATACATGCACCGCTTGATGCGAAATTTTGCTGTCGGGTTACCACCATAAATTCCATACAGAATTGCGTACAGGGGGATTATGTACATGACTGTACTCTTGATGGCACACATCACATTGTACTACTTGTACTTCGGTTTCTCATGGCGCATCACTCAGAGAACATACCACTGCACGTGTAGTGAAAGGATACTGTAGGATTACTGTAGAGATTGGGAATATCGTATTCACCTGTGTTGATATGTGGGAAAACGAATACAGCAGGTATGCAAAGAGGATATCATCGATGGATGCACACAAATACGTAAAACGCTAGATAATGTCACTAGCCTAAGCTAGTTGTAGGCAAGTAGGACAGTGATAAGTTGACAGCAACCTATGGCTCGTACAGTGTGGAAGCTGAGGCCGAGCAATAAACAAAAACGATAACAACAGATATATGGAAGGCTAAAAATGATTTAAAAAAATGTTCACAACACAGTGAGTGAGCAGACTAAAACTAAAAGAAGCAAGGTTCGCATAACACATGGTTTGTGTCAAATGGTGTCAAAAAAAAGAAAGACAGAAAAGGCCTAAAGGTTATGGCGTATGCATGGCGATGGATAAGTACAAAACTGGAATAACACAGGTGCACTGAGAATGGTGTACCCCAAGAGTAGACTCTTGGCAGAGCATGTACCACTGAAATGAATTGCTGAACACAGGCTGGCGAACATAGCAGAGAAAATGTAGCTGATATGAAAACAGGCCCTTCAGGGGCAGCCTCAGCAGAAATGTTAATCGGTTAAGAACCGGTAGGTGAAGCGCACAACTTGAAACAAGCTGTAGAGACACGGCAAATAAAGCAGAAAAGTACTTCAATCAGAGTACTAGTAAATATACAAAATTTCGGCACTGCAAAATTTCGGCACTTCACGATTATCCACATCACTGCCACAGTACACACAACTGCTACACTAGTCACGCACCAGTATACATCCGCTTAATGCGCACACAATTCGCCTATACACATTCATGTGAAGTGGAACTGCAACAATACAATGTCGTGTATTGTGTGGTCATGTACGGTTACACATCATGTGATCAAATCACATACATGTACATGTACACAGGGGCGTCGGAAGGTAATTAATTAGTGTGGTACGGTCAGCCATCTGAAGTACAATTTACGCGTGGGTGAGGGGTGGCTGAGCCGAACATTTTGGAAATTTAGAGCCCAAATCAGTGCATTTTACAGAATCACGGGGTACTTGGGGGCAAATAGTGGTACGGTCAATACCGTAGTGACCGTACCGTGTGCGACGCCCCTGGTACATGTACCAGATGAGTTAGTTAGCAGGACCACTACACGACAGAAGCCTAGCACTACAAACACTGGCTGTGTGCTGAAGTAAGCAAGGCGCTGCCATACCGACGACGCTACTGTATTTGATATGCATCATACAGTCTTACTTGAGTGCCAGGATCGGAGCAGCTGGCATGATTTTGCCGGTTTTGACCAAGCGAAACACCATGATTCCAGACAAGGTCAGTGAAGCAACTACAGATGCACACACACATACAGAGTAGCACAGAGGAGAGAAATCACCATCCAAGGCTACAGTCACTTGTACAGCACTCCTGTCTGAGCCTTGTGCACAAGAATGCATGGGATACCCATCCTATGGCCTACAAGAGCTGTGTCGGCCAGTATCCGCGCAATTGGCAGCTTGCCAGAGAAGAGGGATACTGAAATGAAGACCTTCACCATACTGATGCTAATGGTTCTAGACCTGAGGGAGTGCAGAGCTCAAGTATTGCGCAGTGCCATGATCTCAAGTCCCACGCCATCCATTCCCATCAAGTGCGGCATGTGAAGAGTCAGGATACTCGGTCAATAAAGGGAAATGTACAGTTGGATGCACGCTGCGCTGCTTTCATTTACTTACGGAATGCGAGAAGGAAGTCCCTGCGGTTGGTGCTGTGCAGCACACCTCCATAGATAATCAGAGAACCAAACACCAGGCCTGATCCCAGAGACATCAAGCTAGCTGCAGTGCCACCAGCCGGTGCATTGAATAAGACATGGCCACAAACACACAAATACTCATGAGTGCCGAGTATACTTTCACGTAAATAAAGTATGAATGAATGTACAGCCGTGGCCAGAGAAATCCGACCCACATGCGAAAGCAACGCCAAGGCTCAAGCGGCCCTCGGATCGGTTTTTGGAACGTGCATGATGTAATTGGATGGGAAATGCGGCGTTCTTTTTGACTTGTGGGTCGGATTTCTTTGGTCACGACTGCACACGACATTGTACTTATGCTCAATCTCACTTGCTATAAGTAATGGGGTTAGACTTTGAGAAAGGATCTCAGAATGATCCCCTGGTGTTTTGAATTCACGACATGCTCCATGTTCCTGTCTAGTTATACCGTATAAATATAAATGTGTAGTTTAATATTTTAAAACTTTGCTCTAAAAAAACTTCTTTCGGAGAACAAAGAAAGAAGATACACTGGGCCGAACATGATAACCGGCATGCAGTTGTAAGTCACAGCTTTGACTGTTTGCTCTGAAGATCACAGTGTGTATTCATTGAATCTTTTCAGAGCACGTAGAGTGGTATCAATACGAAAGACACGATTAGTCTCAAAAGAGAACTTTTGAAGAAATGTCTTCACCACTCACCAGCTTTCACATAGCCGAAGATGCCACCAGCAGCTACGAGTGTGCCGATGGTGTACGTAACATAATCTGGGCTTGGTGCCAAAGGCATTTTGGCTTCACTTCAATATTTTCAAATCACAACAGACACAAGTATTTAGTTCGAAACAGTCTTTTCTCTCAGTCTCATGCTCAGCTCAGTCGAGTTTTTGTAGTTTCGTCTCAAGCAAATCGCTGAGTCTACGCGCGCGCGTAGATCTACGCGCGAGTCTGGCCTGGGCACTGGATCATGGATCACGTCCGGCCGGATCGGTCCTGTTTTATTTTTTTGACTTTCGGCGTCATTTTCCACTTCGAGTTGCGCGCGCTGCCAAAAAGTGTCATTTATCCACTTCGAGTCGCGCGCGCTGTCAAAAAGTGTCATTTTAAATATACCATGAAAATAATTAAATTTTGTGCGCCCAGGACTACAAATACGTAGACCAGGTAGTCAGGTACAGCCATGCATACATGTCACATCATGACAGAACATGTATGACATTTTATCACTCTCTTATGACCGCCACAGAAACTTGTCAAATATCAGCATTATATTGACCGCTTTAATAGGCCATGGTAAAAATTATCTTTGATTCTCAAGTACGCGCGCACCGATTTTTGGCGGCGCACCGATGATTTTTTTTTAATTCTATACGTGCATATGCGCACATGAAAACGGTCAATGATTATGTGAAAGGCATGAATCAGGGAGTAGTAAAATACCAGTAATTTTCTACTCCCTGGCCTGAATAATAAAATAATTCTAATAACCTGTGACGTACATAATGTGCGTGACCCTATCTTTGGAAATAAAAATTGTGGGAATAAAATAAAAAATCGCTCGCTCGCACCGATTTTCACAGGCTCATGACCTGAGAATCAACTTTATTTTTACCATGGCCATTATACTAGCAGCACCCGGCCAGCGTTGCCTGGCCGAACGCGTTAACGTGGCATGCGGGTGAAGCAAGTACATGAACAGCACACGTGCTCAGCACGTGGTGGTGGCTACACGATTCGCACGCTTCGCGTGCTCAGTGCTTCTGCCGCCGCTAGCTAGCTACACTGTTCGCACGCTTCGCGTGCTCAGGGCAGCGCTGCGGAACACGCAGACAAACACACACCACAGGTGCCTCTTCTTAGTATATACCGTATTTCCGCAAATAAAAGGCCGTCCTCGTATACAACGCCTTCCTTGTATACAAGGCCGGGGCAGGGGCGATTGAAAAAATAAAAGACCGTCTCCGATTAGAAGACCGGACCTACTAAATGAGTCTTTGTTCTTGTGTTAAAAATGGAAGACCGTGCTCAAACTGTGGGAAAAAAATAGAAGACCGTGCTCAAACTGTGTAGAAGAAAATGGAAGAACGGGGGTAAAACTGTGTGGCGAGAAATAGAAGAACAGGGTCAAACTGGGTTGAAAGAATAAAAGACCGTCCTCGAATACAAGACCGTCCTCGATTATAAGGCCGGGTTAGGGCGAGGTTGAAAAAATAGTAGACCGGCCCACTAATTGTGGAAATACGGTATTGACCACTTATTAGGGTGCGTTCTTAAATCCTCTCGGAAAAGTTGGAGACTCTCCGAAAAGTTCGAGAGCTGTTCTTATATCCTCTCCGAATTTAAGGAGGCTCTCCAAAGCTCTCCAAGCTTCAGAGGCGGTTGAAACTTGGAGATTCCCGCGGTTTGGAATCATCGCATGCGAACTAGGCTAAAAGCCACGTGTTGATCATGAGTGTACGCATTTCCCTTTTCGCATACGCACAGCGCTGTAGAGGCAGAAAATTTCGTCGGTCAATAATTTCGTCCAACTCCAAAGAAAACGAGTTCGTCCGGTTGAAAAATTCGTCCAGGGATCATAAGAGTGTATAGGCTATCTCGAGGCTGCTGACCGGTGGAATATGCTGCCTTCCACTGTTCGTACTTGTACCGATTACCGCTCATTTATTCGCTCATGCATAACCTTCCTAGGGGCTCCCGTAAGAAGACCATAGGTCTGTGGGAAACACCCTAGTAAAATAAAAGTTAATAATAATAATAATTTGAAACTCGGATGTTGAGCCATAAATAAATGTGGAAGAGAAAAAGACATATGGGTACGAGTTAAGAGTAACTCTCCATCACTGTAACATGATACTATATACTGAGATGTGTTGAAGCTAGGTGTCAGGACGTCGAATGTTTCAGTACTCTGTCAGTTTTGTGCCTAGTTATTGCACTTTCTGACTGTATATAGTATCATGTTACAGTGATGGAGAGTTACTCTTAACTCGTACCCATATGTCTTTTTCTCTTCCACAATAATAATAATAATAATAGAAATTCCCTCAAACCAGTTAAAATAATAGAAATGCTGGACAAATTGATATTCGTCCTACATTTAGGCTGCGTTCGTTTTTAGCTACTAGTACCTGGTAGAGTAGAGTAGAGTCACTCTACCGATAGAGGTAGATGGTAGAGGCAAGTGTACGAATGCTGTTCTACCGGATCTAGTAATTTACACGATGTGTACGTGAAATGTTTCTTTTTTGTATGGAGTTGTGTACAAATCCTTGATCTTGCTGGAAATCCCGTAGCTCTACCAACTTCTACCGGATTCTACCAACTTTTTCCCGGTAGAGCTGGTAGAGGAAAGTAGAATCTACCCTTTTGAGTAGAATTTTTTTTCAAAAAACGAACACCTCTACCGAAAGAAGTAGTTTCTACCCAAACCTGTAGATCAAAAACGAACGCCCCCTTAATTTAGTCCAGAAGCTCCCTAGACGAAAAAGACGAAATTAAATTCCAGACGAATATTTCTGCTTATACAGTACTATATTCGTGGCACTCAAGATCGCGGCCCCTTTGGCGCTTCATTTTGCTTGACATCTGCAAAATATCTCCGAATTCTTCGAGATCCTTCTTCGACTTCTCTTTCTGTTTTCTTCTTTTCCTAGAAGCTAGAGAATTTAAGAACGCACCTTTTTTAAGGACTTAGAACTTTTTCCTCAAGCTAGAAAAAAATCAGAACTGAAAGAAGAAAAATCTGAAACTAAATGTTGGGATTTGAACCCAAACCGTCAGATTCTCAGTCAAAGAACTTGGGGAACATACTACAAGTGACAACTGAAAACTTCTGGTTATAGAGAAGTAATCTCCAATGTATACATATGTACATGTACATACTATGTACTATTACAATAGTACTCCTTTCTTCCTGTAAACACAGCTAAAACAGGTTAGGTATGCTATGTCGTGATAAATCTATTATTGCCCTCATAATCGGTCAATATATGAAATATAGACCTCGTAAAAGACCTCGGGGGACCTCAGTCTTTTACTCGTTCTATATTTCATATATTGACCTCTTTAATCGTGCAATATTAGATACGTACACTCCATTCATAAAAAGATGGACTTCTTATGTAGCTTTTGGCCATACATGTACAAAAACAGTCACAAATGGGTCAAACTTTGAGTTTTATAAAGAATTTTTTCGGCAATCCCGGCCTCTATCATATGCTATGCCAATGGAATGCTTTTTCTGAAGTCTATTTGAAGTATTTCTGCAAAAAGCAAGCCGTAACAAGAATAGGATTTCGGCCAGGTTTTGCTCCAAAAGCACTGAATTGGGAAAATCCAGGCCGTTCACTCTACTTCCAACAGTACATTGTGCGGTTCGAACCCCACGGTTGGCCCGGGGTACCTTTTTTGGACCCCTTTCAAGTTTCAAACTTCGCGGCACTGCACCATGTACAATAAAATCGCCAAAACGGAAGCTCGCTAGAGCAAGTGCCCATCTAATTCGCTGTACGCAAGTTCGTTTTAAGCGGAGTCGACTGTATTATGATTACAGGTACCTGGTAACTTATTATAAATTCGGAATGACGCTTCACGCAGCTTCATTTATATAATCAACTCGTATTATGGCAACACTGGCCAACACTTCCGGGATGCACTGCTACTTCACATCAGTAGCAGTACTGTCGGACAGTTCTTTCTCTGAGAAATAACCGTTCGACTGTGTGAAGTAGCAGTGCATCCAAGTGTTGGCCAGTGTTGCCTTAATATGAGAAAAGTAACGTAGTTTACAGTAGAACTTAGAAAATCTGAGCATATCTACCTGGGCGATCCAAGGTCACATGGCTGGAATGGGTACGTTGCACTTGTCTTTGGGTCCTCAAAATAAGCACCATGTACGTCTTTATTACATTAGACATGGTTAGTATTTTACTGTTCGCCCTAACTGAATTCGACCACCGGCCTATACCGTTTCTATACCGTTTCTTTGTGTGAACAGTAAAATACTAACCATGTCTACAGTTCGCTGTATCGTCGAAACAATACCAAACTGATTGTGTTTTTGGTGCTGGGTACGAGTACCGTTGGATTAGCGTGAGCCGTAAAATGCTAACCATGTTTAACGCCAGTATGTAATAAGTAATAACCTTACAAATCGTATGTTGAAATAAGTTCAAATAACATGTCGTGTTCGGTATGGCCAAGCTTGGCTATTAGAGGCGATTTACACGATGGCAGGATTCATCCTGTGCGTGATGCTACCATGGAAATTCAGTCACATGTACTCATATGCACTGCCGCCGTGTAAATCGCCTCTTAGTGCAGCGCACCTGCGTTGCAACCAGCTAATATCCATCCCAAGGAGAAAAGTACAAAAGCACAAAGCAGAGTTGCTGACCCGTTGACTTGCGAAAGTGCTTGACCACAAAGAGGAGCCTGTGACACAAGCTCATAATGGTGGGCAACTTCGTTTTGTTGTAACTCTGAGTTTCATGGCAATTGGGCCAATCACTGATAAGACAACATAGTGGATGCTGATTAGAGTACTAGTATCTAGGAAAAGAAAAGTGTGTTGTATCCAGTTTCACCGTAACGGGGGTAGGTGTGGTGGCGTACTCCCTGAGTTTGTAGATTTACCGGTACATTGTATATTGTTAACATATGCATACATACAGAGCTAGACCCTCTAGCTCTATCGGATGTCAATCTCTTCAATTTTTATCAGTCTATGTAGAGCTCTAGAGTAGAGGGTTACCGGTACATACAGTTGCCATGGTTGCAGCAACCGTACTGTGTCTGTGTGATATCGTAATACTATTTCTAGCGTGGATTACCATGATTACGGGAGGTTCTCAGTTTCAGTGCTTTACATTGCCACCTAAAAATTCTGAATTCCACCCCATCCAACCAAAGTTTAATCCCCGGTCGATACTGAGGTTGACTCACCACTGGAAATAGTGGCACCAAAACACC